AGGTGTCACAGATAGCTTAAGTCCAGACTAACACTGCTTGTTCCAGCACTTTGTGGAACCAAGACAGTACAGATGCACACAGTAGTACAACTGATTCTGAGGCTGACTTGAACCAATGAGGCTCTCTGGTATTTAGAGGGTCTCTTATTATTATTGGGGGTCCCTCCTAAGACTGTCTACTGAGCTCCTTATATACCCTACAGTAATTTGAAATTCATAACAATAGGGTGGGAGAATTGCCTGGTTACTAGGCAACATAGACAATAGTGTGAGAGAATAGTGTACAATAGTGTGAGAAAATAGGATGAGTCAGCTAGCTTGGGGACTTGTGATTGGTCCTTGAGCATAGGCTGAGTCAACATGACTCATCTCTATAAATAGAAGGGAATAGCATGAGTCATATTGACATAGAATGAGTCATATCCGCATAGCATGAGTCATATCATATGTAAGGGAGTGAGTCATAAAGGCATGGAATGAGTCATATGGACATAGAATGAGTCATGTCAAGGGAAAACAGTGGAATGCCTCGGATCCTCCTAGAATATTCTGCGCCCTGAATATTCTCACAGTCCTCCTGCTTTGATGCTGCGCCGAAACTGTTCTCCTTGCATCAGCAAGTGCTTTGCATGATTGAAGTCAATGTCGTATATGTCTTCATTGTCGATTCCCAGCCAGTTATTGAAGATACTGTCCACCAAACCTTCCATTACCGATCTGTATATTCCAAATGTAGTGGCTTGAAGCTGGTACTTGTGGTACAGTTCAGGCCTGGAAGGGATACGTTCAGCGCGCAGCGACAGCTTAGTTTGGCATTCGAACGATCTCCTAGTCTGACAACGGACAAGATTATCTTCGAACCAGGTTTGGGCAAGGCGTGAGCGGTGCTTTGGATCATTGTCCTGCTGGAAGATAAAATGCCGGGGGTTCATCCTATAGTCCGACATGGTCCCTAGAAGCTGTCCTTGAAGAATCTGGACATACTCTGTTGCTGTCATGGTTCCCTCGATCCGAACAAGACACCCAACACCCTTCCATGTCATGCATCCCCACACCATCACATGCCCACCACCATGCTTCCAGGTCTTCTGGGTATACCGCTGCTGGATTGCATCTCCTGGCCTCCTCCAACAATAATCCCGCCCATCCGAAGTGAATAAATTGAATTTGGACTCATCCGAGAAAATGACCTGTTTCCAGACCCCCACACTCCAACCTGCAACACAACGCGCCCAAGCCCACCTGGCAGCCCGATGCTTGGCAGGAAGGGGACCTTCCTACGAACCCTAGCATGAAGTCCTTCCTTGTGCAAGGCACGGCGAACAGTCCGGGCAGTGACATGTTCAAAGTAGTTGTCCCGCAGGTCGACGGCATTACGGCACCGGCCTCTGTCAAGCAACTGGGCAGCAAATTTGCGGTCCTGGGGTGTGAGCTTCCTTGGACGGCCTGATTTGGGACGGGGATAGCAACTCCCAGTAGTCTTGTAACATTTGACGATGTCGAACACGGCCTGCTTTGAGATGCTGAACTGCTTCGCAATGTCATCGGCTTTGCACCCAGAGTTGTAGAGTTCGACGATCCTGCCACATTTGGATGGTGATGTGTAGGTCATAGAGAGTCTGTATGTGAGCAAAGTTCGGGCAGGGGAGTCAAGTTGAGGGTAGGATTCGGTCGGTTGTCGACGGAAACAGCGCTGTGACAGTCACTCTTGTCACACGTCGAGGCATAATGACTCCCTGGCTCATAATCCTCCAAGCTGCCACCCCATAAAATTGGTGGGGAAGGTAGTATATTAGACTATCTTCATGTACATACAATTTCTGGAATGAAAGTGTAAGCTAAGAGACAAAGACAGCCGCTTTTCCCCCGAAGATGCGGCAGTGCAGATACTTTTGTCCGCCACTGTAGGGTAACATCTGACCTAGGGCGCGACGGTCCTCGAGTCAGCCTATATTACTCCTGGGACGCAAATGCCCGTCTCAAGGCTGAATAACGTTCAGATCTGCATCTCTTCAGGATATCGAGCACGCAGAGGTCAAAATCCCCCAAGAACGACCCTCATACAATGATACATGGATGTCGAAGCTCCCGCCAACAGCCCGCGCTACGGTGATCAACTACCCCATATAGGTTTGTTTGGCTGGCACAAACAACATTTCGCGAATCGCGGTTTCCGGACTTTTATGCAAAGCACTGTATTCGCATATGAATGAGACGCCGAAGATAGGCGTGGTTTTCAATTGATCGTAGACTCGCGACCAGTCCTGTACGCAATGCACACGCCTTCCTTTTTTGGTTTCGGAGTGATGGAAGGCGTGAGCTTGCGAACGGACTGGTGACAACGGATAGTCACATAGCGGGGTCACAACCTTCCCCGCCAAGCGTGACTCCGACTTAGAAAAATTTGCCCCTCAGACGTACAAAATCGTCTCTGGCACACATTGTTCAATGATGTTTTTGAAGTGAATGGAGTTGACTGGAATAGGTGAGAAAAGAGGATTTTCTCCTTGAGTCAGTCCAAATTCATCGAAATTTGACCTATGTCAAATGAATCTATGGCCTTCAAAACCTACAATGGTGTAAATCTCCCAAGGCATGATTTTTCTGAGTTATGAGGCTCTCAAATCACGAAGTCCCACTCATAGTTGGCGCGTGTCACGCGCATCCCGCCAAAAGGGCGACCGTAGTTCCCAGCCGCTTCGCAGTGTAGCGAGTATTACGAGCGGAGCTTGAATTGCGAAGTGGCTGGTATCGAGCCTAAATTGATCGCGCCAGTTTCTGCAGCGCACTCTTTGCTATAGAGATTCGTCTTCAAGGAGTTTCTCCATATCGTTATACGTCTGTGGAGTCCCCGTAGTTGTCTTTGAGATAGATGCACTCTGCAGAAGACGACTCCCTGCACGTTCATTGAACAATTTTGCCTTTTGCCGGTACGTTGAGAACTCAGGGTTTGATATGCTGGGCCAGGTTATGTTGCTATCTCCTCTGTGGCTTCCGGTTATGGATCATCTCTTCGTCTTCCCCGAATAAATGGTCCTCAATCTGACCCGCTCGTTCTTTATCCAGCAGAGCTTGCTTTCGTTATGCCTCGGGTCGCGGGGCCGTCTCTCTGCCGCCGGCAGATTGTATACCAACCTGCATGAGAAAGCACGCGAAGCTGTCGGTCCCCCCCCCCCTCTTCATCCAGATTGTGGCTTTTTGACTGCCACATCAACTTGTACACGCTGCGTTCTTCGATGCGTCATTAATGTTCCTGATCGGATGGCACAGTCGATATATTTGGACTAGCACGCCCCACATTTAATACCGCATTGGTTCTGGTTCCATCTCCTCCTCCCGCCAACATGCTCGTCCGAATATTTGCCACAACGGCCTACGCATTCATCCTACCATGGGCAGCCGCGTACGAGACGCTCAGGCACCTCATTGTTGGCCCGACGCACCCTGCATGGGGACTCTTCGAGGAGCTGTTCGTTTCGTCGGGACGGCTCTATTACTACGTTGTCCGCAAACCGACGTCTCTGGCTTCGCGGAAACCTGCTTCAGAGCCAATTTCGCTGTCTCAGTTCGATTTTGACCCCGCTTCGTGGAAAATCCGTAAGTTTGCGAAGTGGCGCGTCGGGAAGGGGACGAAGGTGCAGCAGGTGAGGATTGCGAAGGTAGAGGATAAATGGAGGAAAGGCATTGCAACTATCGGGGATAAACATGTGAGGATGGTGGATGTGCCGGGTTTCTGGGTGTTCAGAGAGGACAGTCGATGGGCGAACGGCGATGGCGTGGAGGTGAAGGCGGCTGAGGGAGAACGAGTGATCATATTCGCACCTGGAGGCGGCATCCATGTACGTGTTCATCTTTGCGTCTCGATTCAGGTATGCCTTACGCACTCCCAAGGCCCTTACCAGTCCCGTGCCGTACGGCCTTGCACTCTCCACTCACCTGCGAGTCTTGGCTATCAATAGCCGTCCAGCCATCAACCCCTCCACCGCCTTCCCGGCGCAACTCCTCGATGCTCTAGCCGGCTACTCGTACCTCACTCAGCAGCTTGGGTTCAAGCCGGAGAACATCATGTTGGTCGGGGAGAGCGCCGGCGCGTACCTGCACCTGGCGTTAATGACGTACCTGGGTGATCTCAAAAGGGACGGTATCGATTTCGGCATGGTGGGTGCCGCAGCACTAATGTCGGTGAGTAGTTGGTCCGTCGTTTGGAGCTCCCAAAGACTCACCTCGCGAACACCAGCCTGCCTGTAACCTCTCTCGATTCGACGCACGTCCTCTGCGAACAGACTTCCGCTTCCCAGGGTACCGCAAAGCCATCGTCCCCCTCCAGGCATATCACTTCCCCGCCGACTCGCTCGCCTCGTCTCCGTATTTCTCCCCCGCCCTAGCCGGGCAGTTCCAGTACCTTTCCGAAGCGCCCCACAAGACGAAGGTGTGGATCCAGTACGGCGATTCGGAGCTGTTCGCGGACGACATTCAGAAGCTGGTCAAGCGCATGAAGGAGCAGGGTGTGGACGTGAGGGAGGACGCGGTGTATGGGGGGCTGCATTGTGACGCGACGATACGGCGGGCGTTTGGGAAGGAGGAGGGGAGCTGGGTGAGGTTTTTGGAGGCGGTGAAGGAGATGGGGTGGGCTGACTCCCAAGCGTCGTCGAAGTCGACTGGAGTGGTGTGAAGCTGGACCTGTTGATAATGCTCAGAAACTCTATACACATTACCTACTGGTCAACTGCATTTTGTACATTCGCATCCCTAGGCACGCTGTATCGTTAGTTGTATTGCTGTAGCATCTCCACCACTAGATCTAAACACAGAAGTCGTACATATCTCATGTCACGGATGACGTAGGATTATCCTCGGAGTAACCCTTGTTTTACGGTCGCATTTTGTGGCAAAGGGATTGTGGCACGGGTTTCTCACGCCTTACTCCTCCGATTGAACTGGCAGAAGGTCTGAGTTACTTTCAACTGAGCCTACTGAAGGCACACGGCGCTGTGTGTCGTATGTCGTTACATCAAGCAACCTGTCCTCAGTGTTCTGTCGAGAGCAAGAAGTCGAATGTGGTGCCCATGCGACACCTTTGAATGCTTTGAGGAGTCGCGTCAAATTCGAACTGGACTTCATAACTCCCCAGACTTGTACAAATTCTCCCCAGCTGCCTAGGATATTTCATCCTCAGGACACTCGATATCACAAATTCTTTCAAGAGCCACACTGTCAACAATATTTGGATCACTTAACAGCGGGCTGCACACTCCCAGGGAGAAGCAGTCAACGACGCGCGTCCAGAATATTTGTCGTATTCGGCGCACAACGCGGGGTACGCTTGGAAATTTGAACGTTCGTGATGCGTCGTGGTTCTTCTGCTCCCCTTGTCTAAAGCTTGAATCCCGTGTGACGACCGCTTGATCCCCCTTCGATGGTCTGTCCTATGATCGTTCACGACACCACTCAAGAAACCAATCTGCGACTGGAAGTGAAGATATGGATTCCTGAGCATGGCAACTGACACTAGACACTAACCTGAACTGATGCCCGGCGATTCTAAAACCTGGTGATCACCCGGCGTCGCCTCTCTGTCGGTACACTGCACCTCATCAAGCACGGTGAGTGCATGGGATGACACTCTATTCAGGAGCTATAATATACGGTAATGCATGGTATGTTACATGCATGGCCAATAATAATGAGGACAACCAACTGGAACCTGAGAGCGTTGTACCGGCCGGGAGAGATGGCTCAAAGATGATAGCACCTTGAGGGAGGACTTTCCGATCCAAGCGTTGGGGTATGGCCGTCCCTATGGACCTGTAATATTTCCTCGATTGACGCTCACAGTACACAGACTATGTCCAGGCAGGCATATGGCGCTTGAGAACATCTGGCTTGTGTCGATCGTCGCTGCGTTCAATGTAAAGCCAGCCAACGATGCAGTAGGGAATGAGATGTCCGTCACCGGCGAGCTTGGGGACGGGTTACTGAGGTATGCGTTCTGCTAATACTGCACAGGAGCCTTTCGGATTTGACTACCTTGGTACCGTCTGCAGCCAGTCTGTTCCATTCAAATGCTCCATAACGCCGCGCAGCGCAAGAGCCGCTAACCTTATCAAATGTGAGATATAGCGAAGTACATTTGAAGAGGTTCGACTGTTGTTGTGATTGTGCACTGAAGCGTGCTGAGCGTCGACATTTTACATCTTCCAGCCCCATTGCCTGCCGCGGTCTCAACATGTAGCTCGATTCAGACAGGGCATGGCCTCACTAATAGTACTTCCAAGCCTTTGAACGGGAGACGTCACTGACTGAAGATTGAACGTATGCCTTATTCTTAATGTAACATATTGATCGAAATCGCCATGAGTGACTAGGAGACTCTTCCATCTCCCACTCCATTCTTCAAGCAGAACGGTGAGGAGAGTTATCCACCACCCCTATATATGTGGATGTGGCTCTCGGATGAGTGTTTCGACTGCACTGCTACGCGGGGAGATCCTACAAGCACTTGGCTCGCCATGGCTATGGACATGTACGTGAAGAGCGTCAGTACCAACCAGGTTACTCTGGGCACATATAATGCATACCTAAAGAGTGTATCGGTAACGCGGAACGGAACATTAGTTTCGTTCCCAGCTTCCGAGGCTGGGACAGGAATCACTTGTGTACCCGTCTGGATTGAGGAACCGTTCAGGCCTGAATGACTCAGGATCGCCATGTAGACGTTCATGGTATATACCCCTACATAGTACTTAGTTGTGAGACTAGGACCATATACCATCTATTATGAAGTACTACAGCGCCTAGTGAAATCGTGTCAGCGGTGGGTTTCATACGAGTTAAGATAGGGCCAGCTCATGTACGACTACTATCACGTGACTATTTTTGTCACACTTGGCGGGGAAAGCACGAAGTCGGTCTTATAACTTTGGGCACAGGTAGAAAACCACAGATGTTTTTTATAGGAATCAAAGATACAGTACATACAAATAGTTCCTATAAAAAACATTTGAGGATCTCGACCCATGGAGATTATAATAAGCTCGACAGTGGTGATTTCTATCGATGATCTCCTCGATTTCCTTACACTGACCTGCCATATATAGGCAAAACACGTGATTGTCACGGTGTGACCAAGGTAGTCGTGTATGGACTGGCCCTATCTTACTGTTTTCTCCCGACCTTTGGGGATGAAGTACTCTTCGTATATATGTCATCCTCCGTAACATTTCTTGCCAATGCTACCAGATGCAAGTGAGGTATACGTCACCTACCTACAGTGACAACATCCACAACGGCACTACGTCGAGTACCCGGGATAAAAAACAGAAAATAATACCCACCCTGATCTTCGTACATTATAATTCGGCCTGAGGCTACAGCAGAACATGTTTGTAAACGCCGTCATCTCGACTCCAACGACTGGGCGGCGACAGGTCTTTGTGATCGTTCGAATTTCACGAATGCCGAGGGCATTTGGGAATTCAAGCATCATAGACGTTTGTTTGTGGCTGCCGTTGTGGCGTTTCGACAGCCGAAGAACGTGACTTCACAGCTTCGCCACAAAACGCCGGCGGGACTGCTTTGCGCTCTGACTCTCAGTGCAACCACTGTTACACTTGTTTGAACATTTTCTCTTGACTGATTATATCTTGCTCTGTATCGATACCGGCATCTCGCATAGATCGTTCGACTCAATTTTGTAGCATATACGCAACACCAGGCAACCCCACACCGCATTCGCAGCTATGTCTGGAAATTCACAAGGCCGTGGTTTCCGTGGATCGCCCAGAGGTGGGCCGAATCAACCTAGAGGAAGGGGAGGAAGGGGACGAGGCCGTGGGGGATGGAGAGGCGGGAGGGGGAGGGGGATCGGGTACGATGAGGATTTGGACTTTGTCCTGCAGTTTCGGAACGAGCGAGATGGTACGTGTGGGCTTAGGTCTATCTGTTTTGTTAGAATTGTCTTTGCACCGCCTTCGACTTCGAACGCCCATCGATTTCCGGCCTGTGCATGAGAATGAACTAATTGGCTATCCTAATAGACGTCCCTCATCCCGGTCCGCACTTCATTCGAGGCCGAGGCGGTCACAATCGTGGGGCGAACAGCCCAAGAGGTCGAGTTACACCCAAGACGCCCAACTCCCGTTCTCGTCCCATGACGCCCGTCGCGTCCGGTTCAGCGACGCCCGTACAGGGTCGGGGACGAGGCAGAGGGATAGATACCACTTCCACCCCTGGTCGAGGTAGAGGCGCCGACACCCATACCTCCACCCGAGGAGCGCAGAAGAAAGCTTTCAACAAGAACGCCCCGCTATCGAAGCTGCTGTACCAGGACAGACCGTACCTCCGTCCCGTAATCTTCGTGAAGAGCCAGCACACGCCGAGGTTATTCGAGGAGCAGGAAGAGATCTTCGAAACGATGAACGAGGATGAATCCGAGGCCGCTGACCACGTCCCCACCGCCGACAGAGTGTTCAAGGTGTTCCATCACGAGACTCCGAAAGATGCGGCAGACGAGGGAGGCGCGAGCGAGGAGATCGAGGAGATCGACTTTGAGGACATGGGGAAGATGCGGGAAGAGGTTGATAAGATCGCCATGAGTATCAAGCACCAGGAGAAGGCCGGACCATCTGCAGACCCCCACAGATTTACCGGCTCCAAAGTCGAAGTGCGGGTGGAAACATCGAGCACGTCTACTGAACCAGCTGTACTATCAACAGCGACCTCAGAAATAGGAACCATAACGACTGCAACTACTGCCCTGGAGGAGACCGGGTTCTACGCGGACGTTACTCCAGCTACAACGGAACCGGAGACTGTGGTATACGAAGCGCTGGAAGGGGACATACCTATTGGTGAGAAGTTAGACTCACTTGGAGAAGACCAGACCCCCCAGGTCACAGGTAATCAGCCAACGCAGCTCGGCTTCTACGTCGACACGGGACCAGCCGCACCAGAGAGGCAGGACGGGCAAGACGCCGTCATTTACGACCGCTCGGAGGTAGAGGCGCCATTGGGCAGCAAACCGGCCGACGAGGACGACGAAGTGATCGTGTTCATCTCGCCGCAGCAGATCGCAGCCGGGACCTCATCGCGAGAAGAGACGCGGCCGCCCTCGCCGTCCACGCTCCCCGCGCCCGCGTTCTCGTCCGTGTCGCTCTCGTTCGGGAATAGCCCGGCGAGGAAGCAACAAAGGAGGTACGCGAACCGGCCCAAGTCGCTGTTGGCGAATTGGCGGGGGAAGAAGGGTGGACGGAGGCGCGGGCTGCTGGACCGCGCGTTCGGGTCGTTCGGTGCGGCGAGGGAGGAGAGGGAGCTGTGGGGCGATGATCCGAGACGCGACGAGCGGAGGAGGGGGGACGATGATGTGGTGTGGGGGGATGAGAGCGAGGAGAGCGAGGGTGAAGGAAAGGGGTCGGGGGATATGGCTGTGGATGCGGACGTCGATTTGAGCGTGATGCAGCGGTTTGTGGAGAGCATGGGCCCGAAGAATGTGCATATGAGTGCGGGTGATCTGGAGGATATGGAGCGGATACAGGCGGAGGATGAACAGGAGGACGAGGTGAGTAGTGAGGAAGAAGACGAGGAAGGCGATGAGGACGAAGAGGAGGAACTGGTATTTGATGAGGAGGAGAGGGTGCTGATAGCAGAGGAGGGTGCTGGTCCGCCGAGTGATGATGATGAGGATGAAGATGACGACGACGACGACGACAGCGATGTGGACGAAAGTCCCAGGCGAGGTTTCCAGGCGAGACTGGAACGACTGCGCAATGCCTCAAAGGGCAAACAAGTCGCCAAAGACCCTTTGTCAATGTTGGACACTCTATCAGACGATGATGTCTCGGTGGAATACGCACCTTGGTCAGACGACGACGATTTGGTCGCTGCGGTGCAGGTGAACGTTTAATTAATTCGAGCGCCTACGGTGCTTACGGTACATAGGACTTCATCGACGGAAATGAGGACATTCTCAATGGCCGCAGCAACAGGAAGGAGAGAAACAAGTTATTCCGGGCCATACAGCAAGGGACGTTTGATGAGTTGGAGGAGTTTGCGCCAGCGAGTAAGTTCTTGCTGTCTTTTCGGCATCGTTAACGGGACGTTAATCCTATCTGCCTCAGAGCGGAGGAAGGATAAAGGGAAGGACCTCCCCCCTGAACTTCAGGACCAGTGGCAACGAGACCGCGCCAAGAAGGCGGAGTATAAGCGGCAACGGGAACATGCTCGGATAGAAGCAGCCGCAGACCCGCTAGCCCGCAAGAAAGGCGGGAAGAAAGGTCGTAAGACAATGCGTGCCGCTGCGCGCCTTGACCCTAGCATCGAAGTGCCCAATCGGGTCGTGAATATGGTCTCGCTGGAACGGCAGATCCGTAGGTTCATTGCGGACATTGGTGGGTCGCAGTCCATGGCGCTGCCGCCGTGCGACAAGGGTACGAGGAAGATCGTTCACGAGTTGGCGGGTGCGTTCAATTTGACAAGCAAGAGCAAGGGATCTGGAGCCGATAGATATACTACCCTGATCAAAACTACCAAGACCGGAGTGTATATCAATGAGAAGAAGGTGACGAGGATCATGAGGAGGTTCAAGAGCGATTATGGAGGGGCAGGCGACGGCTGGGGCACTCCTGGCGGGAAAGGCAGGAGAGTGCCTGCAGCATTGCCCAAGCATAGAGAGGGAGATGAAGTTGGCAAGGTACGAAACATCGTCGTGGCCTGGGCGGTGTATAGCTCACGCGATCATTGAATAGGCGGCGCCCAAGATTGACAGCACGAACGTTGGATTCCGCATGCTGGCCGGTATGGGCTGGTCCGACGGAGACCGAATTGGATTGTCGGGCGGATTAGAAGCACCTCTAGCGGCTGTCTACAAGAAAACAAAGCTGGGTCTTGGGGCTACGCTATGATCTTACGCAGGCTGACTCCGCCGCGGTTCCCGAGGCATGCTCTTATTCTCTCTACGTAGCGATCAAAGGAAGTTTCCTACTATCATACGCAGCAGACGGTCATACAACAGCGACGATATGCCACAAACCTGTTGCAGGTGTTCCAAGTGTAACTGAACTTGGTGGCGTGAGAATTGTGGCCCGCGCTGCGACGCAACGCCTACCGCCGGTCGTGGCATCGACGTGTCTCGTGTCATTACTTGCTGTATATTATAAACTTGTAATCCAAAGCTGGGACTTGTCTTCGTACCACCATCCTCTAGCGTGCCGCTGTGGAAGTCCTTGCATAATGAGCTTTCGATCCGCCGAGCAGTCCCAGCATGACAAGATCAACTTGGTTAGGCTGGTAAAGAGGCTGGATCAATCAGTCAGTCACGACTTTGAAGAGGGGTTGGGGGATAATAATGGTGGTGAACACCCGGAGAAAACGGAGAAATATATCAGGGCACAAGGAGCAATGCAGGTGCGACGAAGTGTCGTTGGGTTCAGAGACCTTATGGAATTACTCTGCTCAGAAAGTCAAGTACGCCCAGAAGCTGCTCAGAACGCCAGAGATACAGGCAGAACTACAGTCGTACGCCATCTTCTTCTCTGGAGCTGAAGTCGACCCGTAAGTCGTGATGGATGTAGGCAACGGCGGTATGACAACTTCAGGACGACGCTCGCGCGCCTTGAGGCTACTCTGGAGAAGACCCTGAAGGTGAGTCCCCCAGAAGAATCGTACTACACACGATAGAATATGCAGACGTTTATGGCTTCGTCATTCGTCATCAGGTCCTTGAGCCAGAGCCTATCCGTCCGGAACCTATTTTACCTACGCTCCCCAAGCCCCAGGTTGTCACTCCACTTCCTACCCGATTGCAGTCGAAAGATAACTTTTCAACCGAAACCGCTGCCTCTCCCGAGACTGTGCAAAAGGTCCTCCCGGCCGCTGACTTACTTTTGTCACCATCGGAAGCCCTTCCTCCAGAACCAGACCTGTCTCGAACGTCCTTGATCGCGCCTCCCCTTCCCCAGTCTACTCTTCCTTCCCTCCCCACCTCGTCTACTGTCCCTCTACAGTCATCGAATCTACTTCATGAAGAATTATCCGCGCAGCTAGCGCAGATGGCTACGCAGCTCAAAGCCAACGCAGTCCACTTTTCATCGACGCTTGCGAAGGATCAGGCGCTCGTCCAGGAGACACAGGAGAAGCTCGAGACAAACTACAATGTGATGAAGAAGGAGCGGGTACGAGTGCGGGATTTCAGAGGGAAGAGCGGGGGGACGACGTGCTTGGTGATTTTCAGCGTAGTTGCTGTGCTCATAAGTTTTGTTGTGATGGTCTTCATCATCCGGTTAACCAGGTGAGGTGCCCTCTTGGGTAGAAGTGCCTTCGGGACGACGATCGTCAGAATGCCTTACGATATTGCAGGTAGGATCTTTCCTTCTATTCTCGTACAACTTATATCAACGAGCTGTTTCAGGATAGTGCACGAGTGTCTCAATGTTTTCCTCTCTGTCTTTCCCCACAGTGCTATGCCTTCCGTTTCCTCTGTCAGGAACACCCGTGCACATCGGACAGGACATCAATCATCGGTTGCAATTTAGGCACCTCGAATCCATGCGCGGAATCAATTAGAGTATGCGACGTGAGCCACCTTGCGAAAGAGCGTAAGCCTTACGGTATGGCACGGTCTTCCGTTTCCCATCGTCCCTGGTATAATCTACGGAAGTCTGTACACGATCAATCACGGACCACCAGGTGTGTGTGACTGCGAGTGTCCTTGGTTCCTGTGCGGAGGTTAAGGTATGCCACGGAGCTCCGCCAGCGCGTTCTCAGTGGGTGCTCGATTTAGCATCGCTACTTCTCCACTGCGCCCAGATGATGTTGGCCGAGTTATTCTCTTTATATACTCAGCTGTGAGGTATTGCCGCTGATATGTCCAGGCGTCCAGATGACGCAAAGGATGTCGTCCTCCTGGTCCCTGTCGCGCTGGAGCTTGATATATAGGAGTACCGAGAAAGATGCACTGGCTCTACAAGTATCCGATCCCTAGCTAATCCACAATGATTGTAGCCCTGGCGCTGGGTCTTGCCGTTTTACCTGTTTTCTTCGTTGTGAAGCAATACGCTCGCAAAAGAGCGTCGAACCCATCAACTCTTCCCTACCCACCGGGCCCGAAACCATTGCCCATCGTCGGCAATCACTTCGACATTCCCAAGAAGACCCCCTGGAAGACGTATGCGGCATGGGGAAGAGATTACGGTAGGAGATGTATCTGCACTTCGAATGACGCTGACCTCTCTGTTATTCGTCGAACAGGCGAGCTCATCCATCTGAACGTCCTAGGCCAACATTATATCATCCTAAACTCTAAGCGGGTGACAGTGGACTTGTTGGAGAAGCGCAACAGGATATATTCTGATAGGCCTATCGTGCCGATGATACAGATGTGAGTCCTCAGCACATTGACATGCGCTGCGCTCATTAAATAGACTAGGATGGGCTGGGATTGGAACATCGGTCTCATGCCTTACGGGCTTGCTTGGCGACAGCGGCGACGAGAGTTCCATCAGCAGTTCACAGCCGCGAAAAGCAAGGAGTATCACCCAACTGTCACCAGCAAGGCGCATGAATTACTTCGCAACCTGTTAGGGAACCCTGAGGCCTTCCTGAAGCATATTCAACAGTATGTGGACTGACACTCGTCCCGAGATATTCATCACAGCTGCTGGTGCAAAGCTATACTGCTGCAATATCTATGGCGATTGCCTACAACTATGAGGTTGCCTCTAGCAACGATGAATACGTGGCTATGGTAGAGGCATCCGTGGATATGCTCGGTCATGCGACATTCCCTGGCGCTGTAATTGCCAACGCCTTTCCCATATGTTCGCAGGTGGTTTTTTAACATACGTGTGGCGAACCTCTGATCGGAGATGTGCTTAGTGCGACACCTTCCGGCGTGGTTGCCTGGAATGAGGTTCAAACGCTTTGCAGAGGCATGCAGGAAACTAACCACAGAAATGAAGAGAGCTCCGTATCATTTTGTTAAAGCGCGCATAGTACGCCCTTCTGTAGGTTCCTTCAGTAGGTGCTTAATCCCTTGCAGGATCTTGGGGTGCCCACCAAGTGTGTGACGTCGGAACTTATTGGTCGCTTCGCTGAAGATGGCAAGCTGACACCTGAGTCGGAAGATGTCATCAAGGACGTTGGTGCCATCACGTACGCCGGTAAGATCTCGCAAGCGTACGTCGAATCGATGCTGAGCGACTCGTATGATAGCTGGAGCTGACACGGTAAATCACCTATCTCCTGATCTTGCGATTAACAGCTCACTTTCAGGATTGTAGTCTTCGTCCGCCGCGTCGGCAAGCATACTCGCAATGGTTTTGTATCCCGAAGCTACGAATAAAGCACAAGCCGAAATTGATCGTGTTATCGGCAAGACTCGGCTTCCGAGCTTGGAGGACAGGCCCTCATTGCCTTATGTTGAGGCGTTCTTCAGAGAGCTCATCAGGTGGCATTCCATAACTCCGTTATGTGTGTCGTCCATATCTTTCCTCCGGTGCCTATCGCTTACTTGTATTCTATAGCTGTTCCAAGAGCTGCTCTTGAGGATGACATATATGACGGGTACTTCATCCCCAAAGGTCAGCGATGTGCAAACCTGAGCGCAAAGGCACTCAACCGCGTCATTAGGGACCATTGTTCTCCAGAATACATGGTAATATGCCCTCCGCACCTTTTAGCTACAGTGATAATGATATTCCAAGGGCAATCCATCATGATGAACGCATCTATGATGAACCCGAGGTCTTCAAACCTGAGCGTTTTCTGAATTCGGATGGGAGCATCAGTGATGAGTATCCCATCATGGCTTTCGGACACGGAAGAAGGTACGTGCCTATATCGCGAAATATTATCGTAAGGTTTGATGTCCTGCAGGATATGTCCAGGGCGTCATCTGGCAGATGCCATGATATGGACCGAGATCGCCCTTGTTTTAGCTGGGTTCGATATCACTAAAGCAAAGGATGAGAAAGGGCACGACATAGATCCGCCGGTCCAGTTCACTGATACTATCATCAGGTACGTGGGAACTGTAGACTGATCAATACTGTTGATAACATATAACTACCTAGCCATCCCGAGCCGTTCATGTACAAGATTCATCCGAGAAGCAAGGAATTCGAAGTGCTCATTAATGAAACAAGCCAGCATCTCTTATAGAGATGCGGGTAGATTGTTACGTGTTGTTTGGTCAGACGAGTACTCCGTTGCCGAAACGTGTATGTCCCATTTGCACCTGAATATCCAGCTTCCAGGATACGCGAACTTTCAGTAGCCTATCCGCTGGCCTCTCAAAGACCCAAACAAAGGGATCTATGATGATGCAGGTCACTCTACGCAATGGGCATGTATTTATGCTATCTCCTTTGCCTCAAAATAGAGACTTGGGGAGGAACGCGCACGAAAGCCGGAGGTATGCATGTCAGCCTTCGGAGGTCCGAGCGTCTGGTTTGAGCTTCCGGGTCATGTGTCAACGGTTTATCTTCCTGTTTGAATGGACTCGTAGTCTTGCTATCTAGGGACTCGATCATGACGGCGTCCATATCATGGGCAACTCAAAGACGGTTGACAGAATTTTAGGGATGAAAGATAAATGTAAGTGCTCTGATTACACATGTTCATGGTGGGGCTCAGCATGGGATATAAATCCAGACCACAGAATGTCGTCTAATTTCACCTCTACCTGTTCGACCAACCTTTGACAAGGACCCGAGCATATCTTGCTTTTTCTTCATGGCTACAGCAGATACCACGCTACTTCTTGTCTGCCTGCTATTTGCTTTTATTGCTAGAAAGTACAAGTCTTGGCGTGCAGCCAATCCGCTTCGTTTACCTTATCCCCCGGGTCCCAAGCCCTTGTCCATCGTCGCGAACTACTTTCAGAACCCTACCCAGAGGTCTTGGCTTCAGTACGCCGACTGGGCGAAACTATATGGTGTGCACTTATTACTACTGCATCATTCAGCAGAGTTTGACTGCACATGTCCCCCAGGTGATATAATGCACATCCGCTTATTGACCGAGCATATCATTATAATAAGTTCGGCAAAGATAGCTAATGACCTCCTGGAGAAGCGTTCCAGTATATATTCCAGCAGGCCGGGTTTCCGAATGCTGGACTTGTAGGTTATGGGGTGATTTAATCCTTTGACGCTTAACATGACGAGGTAGGATGGGTTACCACTTCAATTTCGCATTTCTACCCTATGGTCCTCGTTGGCGGACGTACCGAAGACTGTTCCAACAGGTCTTTCGTGCGGAACGTGTTGCCGAATACACTTCGACAACAGTCACAAAGACGCGTGAACTACTCGCTAGGCTGCTTCGTTCACCGGACAAGTTCGGAGATCACATACAACAGTAAGTGATTAATGTTGTTTTATGCGCCTTTGTTATTACTATTAACGCACCTACAGTTTCGCGTCGGCAAATACAATGCTCGTACTCTATGGTTATGAAATTGCCTAGGAAAATGACAAATTTGTTGATCTCGTGGAGAGAGCAACGCAGATGATGTCCGAATCCAGTTTTCCTGGTGCAGCAATCCTTGATATTATTCCTGAAGGTTTGTTACTGGCACATTGGCGGTCAGATGTACTGAATCCGTCCTATAGTGCAGTATCTACCCTCCTGGCTCCCAGGGATGGAATTCAAAGTCTACGCTCAGAACTGCGTTAGGTTAGTGACGGAGATGACCACGGCGCCGTTCGAGTTCGTGAAGTCAAATATGGTGACTATTCAAGGGCAATAACAGCAGTTTGAGAGCTCATCGCCGCCTCAGGCTTTAGGGTTGGGAAAGAGATGCATATCATCCGAGCTCCTGGAACGCTTGCCACCTCATGAAGGCACTCATCCGCTAGAAGAAATTATTAAGGGTGTCGCAGGCGTTGGGTACAACGGTAGGCAACATCAACTTGAGCTGAGTGGCTTTTGACTCACACTACTCCACAGCTGGTGCAGATGCTGTGAGCAGACGTGGCCCTCAGGACTCTCTCAACCACAAGGACTGACGGGATTCCAGACCGTATCCGCGATAGAGATGGTCCTTCTAGCAATGGTTCTTTATCCGGATGTGCTGGAAAAAAGCACAGAAAGATATAGACACTGCCGTAGGGACCAGCCGCTTACCCGAATTCAAGGATAGGATGTCGCTCCCGTATGTGGAAGCGGTCTGCAGGGAGGCTCTGAGATGGGGTGTGGTTACCCCACTGAGTAAGTCCATTGCCTTTGGAGCATGGAGCTGCCATGTAGGTGTGTTCATACTGCCATACAGGTGTCGCGCATGCAACGACGGAGCCCGATGTTTACAACGGGTATTTTGTACCTAAGGGTCAGTATAGGCCTCAGCTCCTGTTTTACTCCTCTCACGGATTCCCTCCCAGGTGCGACCATTATCATGAACACATGGTAAAATAATCGAGGTACATTTCCATGCCCAACTCACCTTGTTTCCTGCATGGCAGGGTGGTACATATGGATGAGCGGGTCTACAAAGAAGCGGGTCTACAAAGAAGCGGGTCTACAAAGAAGCGGGTCTACAAAGATCCCTACGAGTTCAAACCGGAGCGCTTCTTGAATAACGATGGGACTATCAGCGATGAGTATCCCCTCACAGCATTTGGTTTGGGTCGACGGTATGCTGTACGCTTTTCGACCACCAATTGTATATTTATATTGCGTGAGCAGCATTTGCCCAGGCCGACATTTTGCGGATGCTGCAATATGGATCGTTGTGGCGTCCGTGCTTGCCTGTTTTGACATCTCGAAAGCAACAGATGAGAACGGGCAAGAGATTGTGCCATCAGTAAAGTATACCGACGGGCTGGTCAGGCGAGTTTCCCGCCAGATCTGCTGAGACGCGTCGTGAATGCTGACTTCACGGCTCACTTTAGCCATCCGTTGCCCTTCAAATGTAGCATAAGGCCTCGTAGTAAGGAGGCGGAGGAACTCACCTTTGACAACAACTTCCCTCAGAAGACTCGGGCTTAGCAGCTAGAGCTTCATGCCCTTAACATTTTGCTCTGAGTCATATATCTCGACCGATGAAGTCAGCTCGTATGTACGATTAATAGTACCTGCTCGGGCCTAAATGAAGCTCTTCCGTCTTTATTAGTGACGAACGTATCACCCAGCATATCCTTGAATCCCCCATAGATGCCGTCTCGCACTCAGGGCTCGTGCTGCAGGACTTGACATACTTACAATGTAAGTATGGTAGATCTAGTACGACGCTGCAAGACCTGGAACGGGTCCCGCCTTGTTTAACCATCTCGAGAGCAACTTAGTACAGTGACAGCTATGACAGCGTTACCTTCATATGAATCCCTGACCTTAGCAGTGTGGCAGACGCGAGGCATCGATATCAGTCCAGCCTGAATTTGTCCGACAGTCCGACGGGATTCGATCAACTTCAAAGTCGTTGTGGCATGAGGACCCGGTGCACCTTGCTGGGTGGCTGCAACCACCGTGTGCGCGGTGGCAAGTCTGGCTTTCGGTTCTTGAAGGCAACGAATACTGGTAATATCGGGTTCTATAGAAAATTTATGTCTTCTGATTTGTGACGCTTAGATCGTCTGTTATCAAAGAGGGGAGGTCTCTGAAGGACTACCCGGGCCACAACAAACGTAAGCCCATTAAATCCTCATTTAACACACTGTAGTGACCGAGCTTCAGTTCTAGTATGGCATTCATCAAGCCTGTTCACGAGTTGTGCAGCTCGATGTGCTCTCGCATACCTGGGCATCTGACGGCGCGCATATACTAGGCAATCGGCTTTAGCTGGCACTAGTCTTACGAGACAGGACTGTTAAGCACCTTGGTTCAATCATGCTTGTAACTCAGTTTGAGTGGTTTCACTTCTTTGCGTGACTTCCTGAGCTGATACTTCTGATTCGCGCTCGCAGGCAGTTTTTTTATTATTTTTGTGCAGTTCTCTCCTCTCCCTGTTTTTCTATGGCATAGCCTTCGAGTGAGCTGTCTGCACACCCTGCTACTTCGACTATACTGTCAATTTACTTCCAGTGGTGATCCCTTCGGCCAGACCCCGGTTTTCGGGGTCTTACGATGGCTTCACTTCGGCTCACGCAAACACCGCAGTGATCCCCTCGTCGAGTTTGGAATGGAGTGGAATCGTCCAGAACGTCACCGAAAGAGGCAATGTATCAAAATGGCCGGCAGCACGATTGCTGGCCTCAAGTCTCCTCAAACTGCGCCCCATCTTTCACGTCTTTCTTCTCCAGTCTCTGTACTTTCAAGAAACGACTAATTCACGACCCGTGTAATGGCCGTTGTTGGCGTTGATTTTGGCTCCTTGCACAGTAAGGTGCGTACTGACTTCCATGTGGTAGAAGAAATATTGACATCGTGGTGTGGTGTCTAGATTGGTGTTGCGCGAAACCGCGGCATCGACATTATCACGAATGAAGTCTCCAACCGTGCTACTCCGTTCGTATCTTTCATCCAAATTGTCGACCCAATGCTCACAGATCGAAATAGGTCGCTCGTCGGTTTCGGGCCGAAGCTAAGAGCAATCGGTGAAGCCGCAAAGACGCAAGAGACGTCCAACTTCAAGAACACGATCGGCTCGCTGAAGAGACTCATCGGCCGAACTCTGAATGATCCTGAGATACAGGAGGTCGAGAAAAAGTTCCTGAACGCGCAGTTGGTGGACGTACAGAGGAGCGTGGGTGTGAAGGTGCGCATCGCACAGTTTTCACCTTGCATCGGTGTCTAACGACTTGGCTAGGTTCGGTACCAAAATGAGGAGCACGAGTTCTCCGCCACGCAGTTGACTGCGATGTACTTTGGAAAGCTCCGGGATATCGCCGCGAACGAGCTAAAGACTGGCGTCAGCGATATTGTAATCGCGGTGCCCGGCTGGTATACCGAAGTGCAAAGACGCGCGATCCTTGATGCCGCAGCAATTGCGAACCTAAACTGCTTGCGAGTAGTCAACGACTCAACCGCCGTCGCCCTCGGGTACGGTATCACGAAGTCTGACCTGCCGGAGCCTGAGAACCCCCGTCACGTCGTGTTCGTCGACGTCGGCCACTCGAACATGACTGTCTCTGTCGTTGCCTTCTCCAAGGGCCAGCTCCAGGTCAAGGCAACCGCGTACGACCGACACCTTGGCGGTCGGGACATCGACTATGCCCTGGTGCAGCACTTCGCGGAGGAGTTCAAGGAGAAGTACAAGATCGATGTCATGTCGAGTCCCAAGGCTGTGTTCCGTCTGGCCGCCGGATGCGAGCGTCTCAAGAAGATTCTCTCCGCGAACCCCGAGTCGAACCTGTCCGTCGAGTCGATCATGAACGATATCGACGCATCCTCAAAGCTCACCCGCGAGCAGTACGAGCAGCTGATCGCGCACGTCCTCGACCGCATCCCCGGCGTGGTCGAGCGCGCGCTCGCAGACGCCAAGGTGCCCCTGGACCAGATCGACTCGGTTGAGCTCGTCGGTGGGTCGACGCGTGTGCCCGCGGTGCGCGCGAAGATCCAGAGTGCATTCCCCGGGAAGACGCTCAAGACGACGCTGAACCAGGACGAGGCGTGCGCGCGCGGCGCCACCTTCACCTGTGCGATGCTCTCGCCCGTTTTCCGCGTTCGGGAGTTCACAATGCACGACATCGCGCCGTACTCGATCAAAGTACAGTGGGAGAAGCTGCCTGAGGATACTGACGAGGATACGGAGCTCGTTGTGTTCCCGAAGGGCAACGTCGTGCCGTCCACGAAGGTACTCACCTACTACCGCAAATCCGCGTTCGACCTCGAGGTAGCGTACGCAGACCTGTCAGAGCTGCCTGGTGGCGTGACCCCTTGGATCTCGAAATTCTCGGCCAAGAGTGTGACGCCGGACGCGAAGGGCGATTTGGCGTGCGTCAAGCTGAAGATCCGGTTGAACACGCACGGTATCGTCAGCTTTGAGCAGGCGTACATCGAGGAGACGGTTGAGCAGGAGGAGGCCCCTATGGAAGTCGACGGTGAGACTCAGCAAGCGCAGCCGAAGAAACGGAAAGTGGTCAAGAAGGACCTGCCGTTCGTTGTTTCCAACACTGCGCTAGACAAGAGCGTCTTAGAGAAGTGGAGGGAGCAGGAGGCTCAGATGCATGCCGCCGACAAGCTTGTCATGGATACAGAGGTGCGTTCTTCACGGGAGTTGTGTACTATCTTCGCGAGACTGACGTCGTGATTAGGACGCCAAGAACGCCCTGGAAGAGTATGTCTACGACATGCGAGGCAAGCTCGACGAGCGCTATGCTGCCTACACCCAGCCGCAAGAGAAGGATCAGCTCCTCAAGAAGTTGCAAGAGTCCGAGGATTGGCTGTACTCAGAAGAGGGCGAGGACGCAACGAAGTCGGCGTACGTTGGACGCCTCGACGACGCCAAGAAAATTGGCAACCCCATCGTCTTCCGTTGGCGAGAGACCGAGGAGCGTGGACGGGTCGTCAGCCAGCTGCGCGAGACGATAAACACCTACATGGGCTATGCCACTTCTGGAGACGAGCGGTACGCGCACATCGAAGAGAAGGACAAGCAGTCCATCGTTGAGAAGTGCGCGACGATCCAGAAGTGGCTGGAGGACCAGATTGCACGGCAGTCCGAACGGCCCAAAAACGTCGACCCCGTGCTCAAGTCGGAGGAGGTCCTCAAGAAACGCGAGGAGATCATCTACTTCGCTACTCCCATCCTCACCAAGCCCAAGCCTAAGCCTCAACCTGCGCCTGGCACCGAGACACCCAAGCAGGAGCAACCGCCTCAGCCTGAGAACAAGGAGGAGGCGAAGCCGGCCGAGGGCGGCGAGCAGCCCAAGGGACCGTCTGAAATGGATGTAGACTAAAGGACTATTTTCTCTCCTAATGCTTTCGTCGGGCGGGTGTGATAGAATACGAGAAGTAGAAACAACATACACTATAGTTTTGTCTCTTGCAATTGTACATACGCAGTTGTAATTCCAGTAGGAAAACGGCTAAGAAACGATGAAACGCTGTGAAACAAGGCCGCATGCCGACCGGCAGGCCTGCCACAACCGGCTGTCTGGTATCAGCCCATCTGCGTGGTCGCGTAGCTTGTTCTCCTAACCACGACGACGCCTGTTTTTCTCGTTGCTTTCTTGCTTGTCTTCTGGCGATTTTGTTTCTGCAGCACATAGACTAAACTCTACTAGCAGCGAGCGGCGACTGCGGCAGAATTGGTGGGTTCAGGGTCGGACAGCCTTGAAATTCAATCTAAGGCGGTTCGACGGGGATCTGACTAGCACGGGGCGCAGGGGGCTAAACAAATAAATAACGGAATGTCCACAAGGCAAAACAAAAAGCGCAAGGCCCGCAACAGCATGAACCGCGAGAGGACCGTCACCACGCTTGCCGAGGACCCAAATACCACTTTTCTCGTTCCGACGCCCTCAGAGGACCCTCCCAAATCGGCTGTCTCTGTCCCGAGTCCTTTCACTGGTCAAGGTCAAAATAGCGGCTTTCAGATGGTGCCGCCCAACTTTTCTGGATATCCTAACAACTACATGCCTTCTATGCCTCCGCCCGTCGGGACTCCTTTTCAGTACTATCCACAACAACAGCAAAACGTGCAGCTTCCACCTGGCAAAAATGATCTTGAGATTCTTGAGAAGCTCAAGGATATGATCAAGAATAACCAGCACGATGTTTTCAAACCCATTCCTAACCCGGCTGCGCTGGCGAGCATTTACATGGGGCCACGTACTGGAACGACATCGGTGTCTCAGGTGCCCCCTCATCCGGAGCAGATTCCGACGGATCTTGTTGGTACTCCTGTGATGAGTCACTCAAACGGAGCAGCCGGGAACGTTGCGACCAGACCTCGTAGCGAGTCTTGGGATAAGAAGCCCAGCGCTCAGACACCTGTGAGCGCCACGTCATCCATCAATAATGTCCTGGAGGTTCAGGTTGCAATGTCTCTTTGGATCGCTGACGTCTTCGTGTGTATATAGGGTATGCCTCAATTGGCCAACGACAAGAATGAAGTGGTGAGATCTGGAAATGAGCTGCCTCCGGACTCCAAGCCTGAAGTACTTGGTGCTCGTCATGATCGACCTCCGTCAAGCCATTCTCTAAGACCGGACCGGTCAATGGATGCCCGCTCCACGCTTGACAGGCCTTTGCCTGCCGAGAAAGGAAGAGGGGATCCTTCAGGCGATACAACGTCACTCAACAACGGTAAGGATGATGCTCGACCTGATGGCAAACAGCAATGGAGCCAGCCATACGGACAAGATGACAGACGTGGACGGCCTGAAGCCGACCGTCCGCCCTCATCCCTCAATCGCGCTCCTTCTGATCGGTCTGTTGGCAACGACTCTCGTGGCCCCCCGCCGCGAGACCAGAGGTTCTTCGACCGAGACAGAGACAGGGACAGAGATATCAGGGATCGAGAGAGGGACCGCGACTTCGACCGTGATCGTCGCACGGATACCTATCGTCCTATGCGAGATGAGAGGCGTCCCGACGATCGTCCTAGGGCGCCACCCGAGGCAAGTAATGGAAACGGCAATGCGAGAAGGCCTCCTCCCCCTGAAGATCGGCACTACGAGCCTCGTCGCTCGGATCCTCCTCCACCTCCGCGTCGGTACGATGCAAAGCCTTCAGATGATGCTATGGTAGTAGATAAGCCGCCTTCTGCTGTTTCAAGGCCCGCATTACCAGATGATCGCGGTGCGCGTCTTCCGGGTCCTGATGATCGACCTATGCGTCCACCCTCCGGTGATGCTCGTGATGTTCGTGCTGCTCCTCCTGCTCGTGTGCCTCCATCTCCCAAGATTTCCGAAGCTCGGCCTGCTGCTGGAAGTCTTGATGCTCGTCCTGTGAGACCTGTAGACGACCGTCGCGGGCCTCCTCAGGAACGTGATGCCCCTAGACCCGCTCCTGATTCTGTGAGACCTGATGACCGTGGTAATAGAGCTGTTCCTCCTCTTGCTGACAGTCGTGCTGTGCCTCCCCGCTCTGTACCTCCCGTTGACGAGCAGGTTAGCAAGAACCCCTCATTACCGGACCGTGTAGTTGGGCATTCTACCTCGGCACGGGAGCCGGATGACCGCCCTTCGCGTCCTGTCCCAGTGCCACCAAGGCCAACTGATGTTGCAGATGCAAGGGCGGCGGCTCGACGCCCTCCTCCAGATGATCGCGCACCTCGTCCTTCCATTTCCGCAGCTGACCGTGACCGTCCTCCACCACGCTCTGGTGTAAGACCTCTCGATGATACTCCTCGTCGGCCGCCGCCTGCTAGCGATCGGACTATTCCTCCGCCCATAGACGAAAGGCGCGGACGTCCTGGGCCACCCCCTGGTGGTGATCGATACAGACCATCCCCGCCTCCAGCAGACAGGATGCCGCCGCCTCGTCCTCCTCGTGGGGCAAGCCCTCCTCGTAGGTCTCCGCCTCCTCTACCTCGTGATGATGTCCGCCCAAAGCTCGAGCCACGATCGCCTTCTCCTCGTCGTTTGCTGCCCCCACCTGCACGGGACTACAGGCCTCTTCCTCGCAACGTTTCTAGGGAGAGGCCCGATGTAAGGCCTCCTCCCTCCCGTGCTGACCTGGACAGGTCGTATGATGATCGCCGCTCAGATATCATGGACGTTGATCCTCCTCCCGGAGGCCGTGCGCCTTACCGCCGGAGTCCTCCGCCTCTCGATCGTCCACCTGCGCAGCGGGCATCGTGGACACGAGAACCACCTCCCCCGGTTGTTACCGATGACCCTGTGCGACGCTTTGCTCCTGAGCCAAGGCGAGAGTATTACGAGGATAGCAGAGATTGGTCCTACAGAGATGCAAGAGATCCTGACTGGGAAAGCAAATCAACTGGATGGGAGAGAACGAGTTCTGCAGCGGCTCCGCCACCGCCAGCGCGAGAGTATGATAGAGACCGTGCTTTCTATGGTCGAGAGTCTCCCCCTCCTGCAAGGCCTCCTTACGAGCGAGACCGTAGAGCGTATTCGCCTCCGCCCGTAGCGTCTCGTGCAGAGCCTATGCGTCCGCCTTTGGCTTCGAGGTTGCCTGATGCTTATCCAGAGGACAGAGGCGGCTATGCTCCTAGGGACTTCGATCGACCACCTTATCGAGAACCCAGTCCTCCGCCATTCTCTCGCGTTAGGCCGCGTAGCCCAAGCCCAGTGCGTCGTCTCGCTGGTCCCGTGGATGACCTACGGCCTCCACCGTACAAGAGGTCCCGTGATGAACCCTATAGCACCGGTTCAGGCATATACTCGCCTCCCCGACGGGACCCCTTGGTATCATCCTCTGAATACGCGTCTAGGGCGGCAACGCCGCCTCCCACGACTAGCGCGAGTTACTACGACCGCCCTGTGGGATACGCTTCAGGCGGCCCTCCACGAGATCGCGAATACGTGCGCGAGAGGACACTGACGGATCCCGTCAGATATAACTCATACGACAGGCGGGCTCCTCCCCCACCTAGATCTCCTCCCCCTTACGCTGGTAGGCCGTATCCTCCTGATCCGAGGGACGATAGACGATACCCGACTCTTGGAAGTTCTGGTCGCCCATGATCCTAATTATCGTGCGTATACTTTCCTCTTTGCACGTCTCTCGAGATTGATTTCGTCGCCTAGTATGCTAGCGATCTACTTCTTGAATTCAAAATGAATATCTGTAGTTGATATCTATGAGAACCTTTGATTTCTCGTATATGCAGACCGTGAATATGCCTTGACACGAATCGCTTCATTGTACCATGTTATCAGAGTGCTGCAATGTACATAGTTGAATCAAAGTCCAATGACTGCTGGTCCGTCGCTGGGCGTAAGATCAGGACCTTCTGCGGTTATCTAGTCCTGACGTCCAATAATATGTGCACTCCGATATTACAACCTTGATTAATAATCGAGGACCGCGGGTAACTTCACTCCTCCCGGCTTCAACTTGTTGAAGTCCTCTTCAACGCCCTCCTCAACGTCGGGGAAGGGACCCATGGGCGTGATGGCCTTAGGGTTGATGTCGTAGTGACTCTTGGTATACTGTTCTTCCACTAATCAGCAATTAGGACCTTGTCGAAGTCCACCCTGCACTCACGTTCTCCTTGATGTGCAAGAAATCCGTAGTATCCCTGAAAGCCGGGACATTCCAATACAGATTCTTTAGCCAGTTATTGATGACGGGGTAGTTATGCCGGATCGTCCCTATGTTGCACTTGAAGTGCTGCACGTACACCGTGTCAAACCGGACCACGGTCGCATACAGCCGGATATCCAGCTCAGTCAGCGTTTTGCCCAGCACGTATGGACCGCTGTTGCTCGCGATCAGCTCCTCCACTTTGTTCAGCGCAGCGAAGGGCGCGATGACGTTCTTGTCGTACTCTTGCTGAGAATTGGCGAAGCCGGCTTTGTACACGCCGGTGTTGAGGTCGCGCTGCATCCAGTCGGATATGCTGTCGATCTGCGCGCGGAGAGCTTCGGGGTACAAGTCGATCTTGGCGTGTTCCTCGTCCAGGAGGGAGTTGAACGCAGTCGGCAGCCAGCGGAGGAGTTCGGCTGATTCCTGGGCATAACTCAATATACCCGTGCGCTCAGTAAAGGTCTGTGTCACTCACATTGTTGACGATCGTCCCCGTCTTCTTGTCCCACAGCAGCGGCACACTATACCGCCCCTTATACTCCTTATCCGCCCTGAAGTACACCTCATGCAGATACTCGCTCCCGAATAGCTTGTCCACCGTCGCGCGGGGGTACTCGTCGGCGCTGCCGGGGAACCGCCATCCCGGCCAGCCCTTCTCGTCCCCTTTCGGGTACGGCTTGACGATGCTGACGTCGATGAAGTCCGTGAGGCCCTTGATGTGCCGCACGAGGTTCGCGCGGTGCGCGAAGGGGCAGAAGAGGCCGATGTACAGGTGGTAGCGGCCTGTCTCTGGGGGGAAGGGCCCGTCGGGCGAGATGACGCCGTGCCAGCCGTCTGCCGTCCCGAGCTCGTGGATATTTGTCGCGGCAGAGCTCATGCTCGCGTACTGGGGATGTATCTGGCGTCTTATTGCGTAGGGTAACTGACGGGCGGCCTGTGTCAATTGCAAAGGGCGCATATACGGACTCTACGACATACCTGCGTGTTTAAATGTGCTCTGTGGCGCCCTTACGATAGATCCTTGTCAGCCTCGCCGCTTCTAACGCACGGCTGACCGATGCCATCCTCTGCTGACGACAGAGTATGGCGTCAACCGAGGAGCTCGAAGCTCAGTTCGCTCTCGACGACCAGCCAAACATCAAGAGCTCTTCTTCGCAGTCTCAAGCATCTTGTCTGGAATGTAATGTCCTCGGTTTGTTGACTATGCCAGTCTCAAGTCTCAAGACGTGGAAAGGAGTTAGAGGTAGGACATGAGGACGACTGTAAAAGACGACCACGACTAACAGGGATAACATGTACAGCGGCTGAGAGTAGGACAGAAAGGAGCTGCAAGAGATTCTTTAACTCAGTACTAAAACCATTGACGGCACTGGTGGTCCTAAGGAAGAAAGGAATACGTTTCCTATCGTCGTTTATAGCTCACGTTTCACGCCGCGCATACAGATCATGATACATGTAGGTCTCATATGATATCTCCTACAATTCGGCCTATTCACAAGTAAGTAGAGTATGGCAAATAAAAGGACAGTACAGAAAAGTGAAGACTGGAGGTGCCAAAAGGTCGATTATACGGCTCGGAAGGGACAGGGCAAATACAGGACGGGCTGGCATGAGGGGCGACAGCCGGAGGACATCACTGTTGTTGGCGGTGAAAATGCAATGCATATAGGGATGTAGGGCTGCCGGGTGCACGGTAGACATACCGCATAGAGGACGCACGCTTAGGGTTTTCGAGCAAGGGCAAAATGAGCGTTTTATTCTGCCATGGAGACATCACCCTGCTCCGTCACAGCAGAGACATCGCCTGCTGCCGCCTCCGCCGGAGCCTCTTCCTTGGGCTTTTCCGTTGACTCGACGTCCATCTCGTTGGCTTTCTCTTCCACGGCTGGGGCTGCCTCGGGCTCCGCAGCAGGAGCAGGGCCCTCCGCCGTGTCGACCTGCATCTTCTCGGAGCCCTCTTCCTTCGCCTCTTCCTTCGCAGCTTCTGCTTTCGGCGCCTCGCTCTCCTCCTTTTCCTCCTTCTTGGCCGGGGTCGTGCCGTTGGGTCCGGCAGGTTTCTCCTTCTTAGCGTCCAGGATTTCGTGCCACTTGTCAACAAGAACCTTCGCGCGTTCGCGGAACTTGAATTCGTCGTCTCGGGGAACTTGCTCAGTCTTTAATGCGTGTATGTGGCGCATAACTTTGCCGATCTTGGAGAATTGCAGATATTCGAGCGTCATGTTGTCGTAGGTCTCGACAGTAGTGAATAGCTTGTCCAAGTCGGGCATTTCCTGTTTATTGGGCTCATCAGTAACCATCAATACATGCGAAACGCGGCGCTAACCTCAGGCTTGGGAGTAGCTTTAGTATTTAAGAAGGCCTTTTGCAGCTTATGTCTCCAATCCTTGACTTTCGTAGCCTCCGGATCGTTCGTTAGTGCAGCTGTGTCGATAGGAACCATATTGCGTTCAAATCACAGTTATTGCGGACTGTTTTCAGGGGCAAAACTCACAATCGGCCTCGTCCTCCTCCCGCTTGCTCCTCTTCGTGGGTGGCGCTGACTCTTCCTTGCCTCTCGAGGCATGAGCATCTGCGTCGGCACCACCTTCGTCTTCAGATTCGACCATTGCATTGGATTTAGTGCCGTTCTTCTTTCTCCCGCCCGTGGCCTTCTTCTTAGCGGGCGTCTCTGAGGGCTCCTTCTTCGCCTTGGACTTGGCCTTGGACTTTGCAGGCGTCTCCATCTCCCTCTTTCGCTTCTTGGGCTTCGGCTTCTTCTCCCCGTCCTCGTCTTCGCCGACCTCGCTCTCCAGCTGGTCGACTTCCGCCTCTGCCTCGTACTGTTCGTACTCCGCACGCGCGTTCTCACGCTCCTCCTCCCATTTTTCGGGGTTCAGGGCCGTCTTGTACCCGATGAGCAGGTCCCCCGACTTTTTGTGCGGCTCGGAGATGTACGCCTCGATCTCGTGCTTCTGCAGCCGCGAGATGTCCTTGGGCACTATCCACGCGCTGGTGCCACCGCGGTGAGCCGCCACGAGCACGCAGGAAACGCGGGCAACACTCACTAATCGCCGGCTGGGAAGAAGCGCACGCAGTAGAACGTGCTCTTTTTCCCCTGTGGCCGCTCCTTGGCGACGGTGGGCGGGACGGTGTCCGGGTCGACGACCTGCGCGCTACGCGTCAGCGCACGCAGCGGACACGTAACGGGCGGCGCAACTCACCATGCCGGGCCATGCAGGGTACCCGCGCACCTTGGCGAGGACGATGTCGCGCGGCGAGTAGCTCTGCTCGTGCTCGGTCTTGCCTTTCTTTGCCATTGTGTGCGATGGAAAATCGACGCGTCGGGCGGCGGCGGCGGCGGCGGCGGCTGAAGCAAGAGATGGAGGAAGAACGAAGGTCGGCCCAAGCGAGCGTCGCGAAAGGTCAACTTGCAAGGTTCAGATCGGCAACATCCGGCAGGCTTTGGCGAGTTTGTACGCTTTCTCACGCGAACGCGACTTCACTCGGGGTCCCGATAAACAAGCATTTGTATATTTCAGGAGGCTACGTACAGGGAGAATAGTATATTGGAGTGTACATGCAAGGCGCCAGTGCGTCGGCGAAGGCGGAGAGCAGAAAACCCAGCAAGAAATGGACAAAAGCAAGAGGAAATGGGGTGGAAGCTCAGGACATCAAGCAGAACTTGCTGGTCGCTGTGGGGCGAGATACCGGCCAAGGCAGGTTTGCTGAGGGCTATACACGCCAGGAGGTCCTGTAAACCCTGCAGGAGGACGGCAAGACAGTCGTGGCCACTGTCTACCGCGTTGAACCTAGGAGCAAGGAATATATCTTTAGTAGCTATGTGATATGACATGTCCTTACCGACGAGATAGTCTCCTTATGATGAGACTCGGATGGGCTAGTTTATTCCAACGGTATCATGTTGGCGGGGACTCGGGAGTCGGGAGGCACCTGCAGCTTAACTCGACAAAGTATCATGATGCGCAGCTTATTCTCTCCGAAGCCGTAGTCAGAGGTTGCTTGTCGAATAACGTCGGGCGAAGCCTGTACAGTCGTCCAGTTACAGAACCATAAAGCGCTCGAGGCCGGGAACCACATTGGCAAGGACAATTCACGTCGAGGGAGCCTGGTCCGAAAGCGTCTTCAGCTAGTTCCAGCACCGCATAAAGGCCGAGTGGTCAGGTCGTTAACATCATAGGCATGTTCCCTACGAGTTCCAATGCACGAGTGAGGCCTTCCGGGGGGGAGGGGGATCTTCGTGAAGGTTGCGACGCGCATGCGCGCAATAGCATATCTTTGCCACAAGCCCGGTGTGTCAGACTCACAAATCGTGCATAGGATAATCAGTTGTGCGGTGAATCGCAACATCTTCGGGCGTAGCAGAAGAGCACTGGGGGCTATCGAGGGAGAGGTGGAAGAAATCGGGATGGGACTGTCAAATGTCATAGCTCGAACCAACTTTACTTGATTGTGGCGGGTGGCGCTTATCCCTCTACATCAAAGTGTTTTGTATCAACTGCTACTTCTCGTTTGCGTGAAGAAACCAAGAAAACCGGCATGGCCGAAGGCCTAATCAGCAGCAAGTGTTTTTTGTGAAAGAGTTGAATTGAACCACTTTCGGGAGCCCTCACACGCGAGATACCCGACCCGAGGTAGAGATAAGAGGGCCACCCTAGGGCCTGAAACGAATCATGTTCACAAGTATTACAACAGGGTAGATAGATAGTCCATTCCGTATCTGAAGGGAGTATGATCAAGGAGACGCAACAGCGTTTATTCCATAGCTTCTGGATAATCACAGGAAAAGAAACTGGCATTCGAAAGGAGCGACGGGCTTAGGCTTGGGTGGCCGGGGCAGGAGAGGGAGCGGTCTTAGCATCCACAGCCTCAACCTTCTCGTCGGTGTACTGGGGCGGCGGGACGAGGAGGTCCTCGGCATCCTGCTCGTAAACGATCTCGTACTCGTACTCCTCGGGCTCCCTCCGCCCTTTGATCAGGCGATAGGTGACGAGGGTCATCACCCAAATCATGCGGAAGATAACACCGATACCACAACCTGATAAACACAAGAATCAGGACTATCCATCGCGATCAACCTGAACATACGTACCGAGAACAAAGGCGACGGCGCGGCCCTCCCAGGGCCCGAGGCTCATGAGCGCGCGGTGGATCCTCTTCAAGAAGGACGAGCTGCGGCACCTCATGACGCGGTGTCCAGGGAACACGATCCTTCCTTTGGGCTCCTCGGGCTGGGGGCCGGGCGCCTGCTCCTCCTCAACGGCCTCGACCGGCTTGAGGGTAGGCTCCTTCTCCACCCACCCCATCACCTTGAAGGTATTATTCCCGCCATCCTTCGCGGTTCCCATGTGGTGGGCGTGATGGAAGGGCCGGCCCTCGACGAGCGGCATCCCGAGCATCTTGCGGATCCCGTTGGACATCGCCAGCGCCTTCTCCCTCAGCTTGCCGCACAGGCGCTGGGGCCTGGCGTGCCTCTCTTTCCACTCGGTCGTGGCCATCAGCTGCGGCTTAGTGCCCATCTGCGCGAGTGCTATTTCCGGGTGGGCGTTCGTGGCGGCATGGCCGATGCGCAGAATACCTGGGCCGGAGGCGGAGAGCTCCTGATGCGAACTGACGACGACTACTCGAATGGGGCTGGCGCTGACTTGCTCTATAGCTGTAAAATAAGAGACGGTCGAACCGTTTGGTCAATCGTGCCCTGAGTATCTGTGCGATAGAGATATGCTCACCAAGCCCGGCGCCAGCGACGAGCAGAGTCAAAGCGGATGAAATTCTCATGTACGATAAAGTTCGAGAAAGCTGCAGCAATAAACGTTTGTCCTAAGCTTTAGCAAAGGGAGCGGAATGGCGGTACTCACTGCTGTGTGGTGGTTATGGTCTGGCTGCCTGGAAGTGCTGCGCCTCAGCATGACAGTGTGCGCCACATTTCTGAAGTCCGCCGGCAATCGCCGTGCTATGATTACAACTGCAACTGCTAACTTACTATAGCTACTGTATGTCATCTAGCTAGTCCTCCATCTTATTCCTCGAAATTCGACTCGAAACTGCTTGGATATGTTCAATTTTACCGATCTCGAGGTCTGTAAGGTAACGGTCTATGTAGGCAACTCACTTGAGAGCACTTACGCCCTGCCTTCTGCTTAGGTAGTGTCCACTGTCAAAGTCTGTCATAGCTATCGCTAATCGGATTACAGAGCCACTTTCGACAAACCGTGAGTCACTTAGGAGTCTAAGAGTGTTCCGAGGTGTCCAACGTTGATACAGTGAGCGTAGAATCTCGAAACCGGCTTGGACACTGATGTCTGGCGCTCGTAATGACATCGATACGTCGACTGAAGTTCTTAACTATAGCAATGTCTCCAAGGGATTCAGCCGGGCTGATATGATGGGTTGTATGTCTATATTCATCATTTGGTCGGTAGACGACGCGAACTCTAGAGTTCTACGAAAAGTGTGTGTACTCCTCATCTACCCTATCCGTGACTCACTTAGTCGTGGCGCCTGGACAGCCCACGCAAGCGCTTTTCTGGACCCGACTATTGCTCCCCTCCCTGGATGCAGCATCTCCCACTAAATTTCTTACGACGATATTGATATATATATTGACTGACTCCTTCAGGATCCGCTAGATGCGGGACACGGATAATTCAAGAATTCTGCATCCGCCTAGGCTCCTCCATCGCAACATCAACCCTTCTGGTATACAAAGAGTCCGGGAATATCCCCCGCGATCGCCGTCTTTGCGCAGGGCAGTTAATGGGATGGGCTTCCATGACCTTTGTCACTCCATCCTTTTGTTCAGGCAACAAAGGCGTGCATCCTGGTATACTATGATCACCAAGGATAATCTACCTGCGCAACCGCCACTTTACGCAACCCGCCACTTTACGCAACCGGCCACGGGTCGAATCTGCTTGACGTATCGAAGATATATGCCAAGCTGTGATTTCGGTGGGTTGATAAGTTTCTGGTTCCTTGAAATCTCGAGAACGTGGACATTGTCCTTGGTGCCTTTACTTTGTGCTGCTGTCGGCGATGCTTAGGGTCGATAATGAAAGAGATGCTGTTAGATCTCGTACAAAGAAAACACTGTATCGGGTATAGAGCGGTACATCTTCTCGACGAACGCGCGGAGTTCAGATCACGATGGCTGGGATCGGCCAGTTCGGTTTGGACCTGTGGACTCCTATGTACGCCTTGAGATTTCCCTTCCTACACGGCGCTCAACGCCATCCTGTTGATCGGGGCGAGCTGGGACAATAAGAGACTCCCCACTACATCACATTTTCCGAGAAAACGAGGCTTCGCTGTACAATTGACGCATCCAGATGAGTATTGCATCTCTCCTCGTTCCGAAGTACCCATCTCGGCTAACAATAAGGCGTGAGGCTCGTCCCGTGGAACAAGAGGATGCCCAAATATAGACATGGTGGCGGGAAGCAAACGAGGGGCCGTAGTTGCTCCTTCAGGCTGTCCATTTGTTTGTACGTTCTGGTGACATAGCTTGTACTTTCTCATAAGAGCAACATGAAGCTGGAGCTTTAAGCCTAACCCCAAGACGCTGAGCGTCGACCGGATAGCATTCCACTCACTCACTTTACACGTCGCCTCTTTCTGCTGAATCCACTCGTTCAAGTGCGTCTAGATGATGTCCACGCCGCTTTACCCGACTTTCAGTCCCGTCCCGACCAAGGTACGCTGGGTGTTTCATGCGGGTGGTATCACAGACTCACGTCAAATTAATCTAGCCCACTTCCAACCGCTCGAATAAACATAGACTATATATTGCCTACTACTCAGAGGGCAGGGCGCAGGGGGACGATGTGAAATACCACACCGCGCTCATTCTGGCACCGAAGAACCCAGACCCGCGGAAGGTGCAGACATGGCGGTATCATGTCAAGAACATTGACAGGGACGGGGACGACATGTGGGTATACGAGGGGAAGCCGACCATGAACTCGGACCAGCGGATAGAGGCGATGACACTTCTGTGTAAAGTCGATGATGAGAATGTTTCGGGCCTCGGTCTCTCGATGCTCTTGCGAGAGATAGAGGTTGTCCAGGACGAACGGCGATGGTGCTCGCGGCACTGGGTATTCTCGGCGCTCCAGGTATGTTTCCTTCCTATGCCCTTGAGTGGGCTGATCTAGCTTACCTTTATTCCGGCAGATGCTGGTCGAGCGTCAGGTTATCCCCCAGCTACACATGGGCCCCAAGAGCATCTGGCAGAATGGATATCAATTCGCAAAGAGCGTCAGCACTGCGAAGTACCCTTTCTCCGTTCCTACGTGCGACGTCACCGGAAGGGAGATCAAATCCGAAATGAACTGGTCATGATTATATGACCACTGACGACCATTCGTCGCCAATTCCTCGCAGACACTCGCGGCAGGCCGCGACTGCAATATTTCGACGCGAAGACGGGCTTACCAGCGTATTGCCTCCGTCAACCGCCTCTTTCGACATCATGTCCCCGCATTGTATCGCTATTTATGACCTCTCATGTATACCTAATCGTCACGACCGTACCTTAGAAGATTTTAATGATGTCCGTTCTTCGCTCATCGCTCTCGTTGTTATCGTCGTTGAATTTCGCTTGTGTATCGCATTGTATACCCACCGCGCGGGACACGGTACCTGCGTCGCTAAAATGATTCATCGTACATGGCGCCTCTATACATACAAATACAGCTTGTGACGAGCGCTGTGTTGTCACCCGAAAGGGCTCGAATTTAGCCATGGTTTACCATCCACCTGTGATATCAAATAAAGCGGTTGTCAGCCACACCAACGGCCGACATACCAGGCTTACCTCCAAAGCATACTCGGCTACAGTCTTCGGCTTGAAGAACTTATGATCAGGATTTAACACTTTGATACCATCCTCCGAATGATCAAACGCATTCTCTGCCGTGAGGATCGGGAGGAAAGGGCCTAGCATGTGCGGAGGCAGCGTGTCCTTCACTGCGTCATAGTTCTTGACCGCTTGTTCAAGAGAGAGATACTCCCGTCGGATCGGGTTTCCGGACACCTTTTCCATCGCGTCTGCGTATGAATTCCATGTGCTGGAGAGTAATCTAAACGGTCGTGCTAGGGTAGGGTGAAATGGGCATACCCTTTATCGGAGTAAATCTCCAATTGGGACGGCATCCTATCCGGTTCATTGTGGGACAGTAGTACAGCTCTTAGCGAGTAGGGCCCTAAGTCGGCTGACGAAGTCATTGCGCAAGGCTCATTACCGGTGCCCGGTATGACCCAAGTATTCTTAGCAGAGTCGACCCCTGTATGGTAAATGAGATGAAGGAATGTGCATGTGAACGCACCACATACCAAACCATTTGCAGAAGCAAAACTCGATGATAAGCCCGGTGTATACAGCAACCACCTTCAGTCCACGAGCCTCCGCGTCGTGATGGTGGTGGCTCTTTGCCTCGAATATGGGATGATACCGTTTAGTCCTGTTATGGTTCGTTCCCCTGCCAGCGTAATTAATGAGAAAATTGTGCGCATAGGCGGTCCTGCACTGTGAACTTACCACTCAGAGGGAAAGTACACTTCCACCCCTGACTGACATGCTAGAAGCGCATCAGCTGTTATCATCGTGCGACTCTGACGGCGTAGGTACTGTGGCACTCACCTGCATCCAGGAGCACTGTCTTCCTCTTCGAGTAGTCCCCTTCAGCGCCCATGACGCTCACGAGCACATTAACACCACGAAGGGCATCTTCCAGGGTCGACGGCTGATCATAGTTGATACCGAAGGCTTCTACCTGTTCTCCTCCGTCTTCAACGTACTTCTGTATCTTCGGCTTCTTGACGTCGGTCGTGAGCAAGCGAAGTTGAGCGATTTCGCCGTCCTTTGCTGCCTTAACGAACGTCGGAGTGATGATGCTGCCGATGAATCCAGTAGGTCCTGGTGGGTGCAGGGTGCTGTTATAATAGTCGCATGAAGCAAATAGAGGGGCAAGCGTACCAACAATAGCGATCGTCAGTGCTAAACAATCTGACATGTTCGTACTGCAAACCAACACTCGCAGTGGGATATCAGTATGGGATACAGCATTCGATCGAGAGAGTGCGCCTATGTCCGCCTAATCGGATTACCAGGAGAATCTGATTAATGCATCCTGCTAGCGTGAGGCTCGGATAATCGTGAATGGCTCGCTGCTCGTCGTATATTTGGGTCTTGTAGGCGCATGTCAGCTGACTCCCCGTAAGCACAATCCTGCCGCGATAACCAGGAGAGGCGCGACCAATAGGTGCAAGCCTCTCGTCACCAGCAGCTCACAAATTGCGTCCCTTGCTGAACATGAGATGGTAAGCTGGGTATACAAGAAGATCCGACGACCAAGTGACTGTTTCATGAATTTTTGCAGAACACTGCTGCAACGGAACCAATCACGACTGTAGCCGTCACCGACAGACCCAGCCCGGAAGCTCTTCCATCACTTCATTACGAACGCCTCGCTGGTACGACGCCCGAAGCGGAAGGATTCACGCCCGACTCAAGAGAAGCAACAGCGACCGTCGAATTGCGAGAACGCGATGGGTCGATAGAGTAAGATAGAGTTGGGCCGGGAGGAGTAGTAGCGAAGGCGGAAAGGTACGGATCTGTCAGACAGGCATGTGTATTGCCACCAGTATTCGCATCAGCCTGCATACCTGGAATTGACGCCTCGGGACTAAGGAGGTAGGGTATAAGGGTTCTGTGTGTGTCCATACCTGCACCTAAAATAACCGTCCGAGTTACCCATCCGCAGCCAGATCAAAATAAAGAAGCCTGCGCGTCTTGTCAGTTTGGTCTCCTGATAGGCCAGAGAAGCGCGGGAGGGAAGAATGGTGGACGGTCGTAAGGAAAGATGTTGCTGGTTTTGGCAGCGATTTTCAATTGTCGAAGAAAAATGCACACAGAAGAGCATAGGAAGTGCTACCGCCTCCCAAGCCTCGACCAGAATGCACTTCCACGGAGTGGTGTAGTAACTGGCCTAATCCGCAATTCGGACCTGAAGATGCAATCCAACTCACGAAGACACTGCTTTCTGTGGAGCACTTTGTGATCCACGAGGAACGGTACTGAAATCCACTCACGGTCAGCGGTGACCTCGATACCCTGTAGCGCTTTTACAAAAAGGAATTCAGTATTGCTCCACGAAACAGATGGTCTTGGTCATAGGCAAGAACAAGAGGCTCAAAAGGGATTCGTGGTAGCGCTTTGGCCAACCGTCCGATAGATAGGCACAGGTCCTCCCTTGTCATGTTGCGCTGCTGACCGGCGAAAACGGCCTCTCGTCACGATGGGCGGTCTGTCATGGGAGAGACAGCTCCTAGGTTTGATGATAGTTACCGGCCTGGGTTCAAGGACTCTGAAAACCCGCACCAATCAGCATCGGATCCACATGCATATCACAGATGGCCAAGCGGGGAATAACCACCGGTATACCTAATCGGAGAAACAGTCGTCAGCTGGTATCTTGGTGGCGGTCGGGAAGATGGATCGATAAGGTATATTTGCCTGCAACTGGACCCCTCGACAGAAGATGCCTATAACTGGCTTGGGCGGACGCAGCAATACGTTGTGAAGGACATGCGACTCGTCTGTGCGTGCTGAAAGATGGGGTCGGCTGTATCAAAACTCACCCAACTTGACTTCGATACCGGGGCCTCATGGTCGCATGCAAGTTTAAAGCCCAGTCAGGGAATATTGCTTCACAAAGTGGCAGGGGCAATGCAGAGAATCTCCACGCTTGAGCACTCCTGTGGAAGAATACGGGAGACAGGGAAGTCAGAAGATGCAAAGCTCTACTTTCAAGCTCCAGAACGTCTGTAGTAACTTTGGCGGCTAAAAGACGGTCATGCGTCTACCAAACTGCCCGAAATTCCATATTTCTTGTGGAACTGGAGGAGCCTGCAGCGTGGCTGACCTTATTATCCACTGTTTACGTTAAGGTTCCCCTGAGTTGTACCCTGTGCTAATACAAGTCCTTTGGGAAATGCGAGCGTAAAATCTAGCGGAGATACTGACCCAGGCAGCTAGATGTCCTGTGGCGTCTATCGTCGTCTTGCCCGACGAGCGTATCATCGCATTGCCACGTCTCGTGACGTTCAATCAGCAACTGCGACCATGATGAACCCTATGGGTACTAACCGAGTAGGGCCTTACTATCTCCTTAGCCCGGCTGCGTATTTCTAAAGCCACGATTGATGAAGGCCTTATGATCCGAGCATTGCGGACAAAGGGAGTTAACCTACTAGAGTTATCATTCTCTGCGACGTAGAAACCGTTCTACCTGACATGTCCTTCCGAGAGACACGAGATCTATGCCACATGTTCCTAGAGTCGTTTCTGCGAACACTATTGACGGCGTCATACAACATGTCGGATTCCAGCAGGAGCTAACGCCGCCCAACGGGGAACTTCGGACGGCTCGTGGGAGAGTCAGCAGTTCCAAAATGAGTCCTTGTTCCTGACCCTCATGTACCCGCGGCGCCATGCTAAACATACGATGCCAGCTTGATAAGCCACTGTAATGAGGCAGAAACAGACGCGTACGGCAATGGTACCGCAGTACGAGATTCCAATGTTAACGGAACTGGCACAACTGCTGCCATTACTCAGTTTGGCCCCGGCGGCGAAGACGAACTTGCGCTGGTCGATCGTGATAGCGATGAAAACGATAGCATGTGCGGCTTCTGTTGGTTGTCTGTTGGCGTCTTTCTTTTGCTTCCGCGGTTGCAGCAACGCTGGTATAGCTACATGGTCTAATCGAGTCAAATTGACCAGACAGATGACGGTCGTGTAAACCTGACAAGGCTGATGCCCTGGCAGCTCTTCAGAAGTAAGCTAGATTACCTGCGGATCAGGGCACCTAGAAGCGGCGGAGAATCGACCTGGGATCATGCGAGCTAGACCTTTCCTAGTAAGCCCTGCAGCCGGGTGAATGGTCTAGTGAGGATACATTGCCGCAAGTTATTAGCCATCGCAAAGCGCTATGGTAGGTCACTCCATCTTCCCCTCGAACATATCTTACGTTCGTTGTATTTTCAGACCGCCTCTACCCCTTGCCCGTCACTATGGGTCTACTATTCTCAGTGGTCGTCCTCCCATGGCGGTATACGCTACAACTGTTAGACTCGTGGGGCAATATGCGTGCCAATCAAAAGGTATGTCTGACCCCTCTCGCGGACTCCGTTAGCTCTGTCAAATAAAAATCGTCCATGCGGTGCATATTTTGCGGTATGCAATGCATCGAGGCTCTGACGTCTCGCATGCTTCTGTCAAGCTTCTCCCATGAGCACATCGTTTGATGGACTTCTGAGACAATACCGATCCATCTGAGACATACGACGTCGATGCACTGTGGCTAACGGATTCGCGTTTTCCTTCCCATAAAAGGCACTGGGTTTAGTCGGCTTCTTCATTCCTCTACCCATGCACCCTTGCGATTCTGGCGACATCATGCCCCTTGCGGAGAAACTCCAAGCAGCTCTCGATAATGCTGTAGCGGACGGTGTGGCCCCTGGTTTTCAGCTCGTGGTCTTCGATAGCGATTCTATCCTTTTTGATGGCGTATCGGGGCTAGCCGTCGCCCCCTCCGAAAAGACCCCGGGCGGCGAAAGATACAAGCCAGAGCATGTCGGCTGGTTAGCCAGCTGCGCGAAACTGACTGTGTCTATCATCGTCCTGCACATCTTGGAGCGCGGTCTCACAAAGCATGGATTCAGTCTACGTCACCTAGACGATCCCGAAGCGCTGGCTCAAGTACTGCCGGAATTCCGGCCGTCTTCTGGCCACCTTGTCACCAAGATAATTGAAGGTTTCGACGGTATTGGTCCTGACAAGAAGAAGGTCATGAAACTACGAGACCAGAAAGGCCGAATTACCCTGCGAATGCTGCTCACGCACACGGCCGGTGCAGCGTATTGGTGGAGCCATCCCCTGATCGCTGAGCTTGTGCGTGCTTGTGGGTATAGAGACTACTGTCGACTAATCGTGCAATCTTCACCAGTATCATCCGAGCGATGGCAGTGTTCCCCATAAAGGCTTCTCGTATCTGACTGGCAATGTATCGGACTTCGACATACCGGCTGTCACCGAGCCCGGACATACGTTCATGTGAGTGATGCTCACTGTCGCGATGCATACATTTTTTATGCGCTCTATTCGCTGTATATCTAGGTATGGACATTCTACCGATTGGCTCGGACAGTTCGCGGTGCGCTCCACCGGCAGGAACCTGCGACAGCTGTTCCATGATATTTTATTCCATCCCCTTTCCGTTAAGTCCTCGGAACTTGATCTTCACGTTTCACCGGCCATCGCGCCACATCTCAGGCCTATCCACGTCCGGAACGGCAAGACAGATGTCCGTAACCCTGCGGCGCGTTTTGATTTGGCAAATGCCATGATATATCATACCGATGGTCATCCCCCGGCAGGAAAGGCGCATTTTGCTGGCGGATGCTTGTTTGGCAATGCACGAGGATACGCTAAAATCCTCCAGGCCGTGCTTCGGAAGGATTCCAAGCTTCTCAGCAGGGGGACGTGGGACATGGCCTTCGCTGATGACTTCGCTAAGCGAGGAATCAAAATGCCAAGGCCGTTGTACAAGACGTCCTCGCCATTCTTCTCTTCCGAGTAAGCCCTCATTCCTCCGATTCGCTAATGAAAGTCAAGGACGACGAGATTATTGACTTGCCGAACAATAGCGTGCCAGAGTTTGCGAAAACAACGGCAAGGAGAGATGGGGAAGGCATGAATCTCCTGACTTGCGTCGTCGCAAAGGCGCCGGTATGTCTGCTGACGCAGTCATGGAATTAAGCACGACACACTGACATCGCGATCCAGACGAAATCAGGGCGACCGGCTGGGTCTTTCGGCTGGGCGGGGCTGACGAATAGTTTCTACTTCATAGATCCGGTGAACGGGGTTGGCTCGATTGTAAACATGCAGCTGTTCCCCTTCTTCGACCCGCAGTGCGTGGAGACGCGGGACCGGCTGGAGAAGATAATTTACGACAATTTGGGTCATCTGGGTAAACGCAGGTGATGTGCCTAGTTTATTTCTGCGTGGGCCCCTGCAGGACTGAGATATTTTCATATTCTTAGGCCCGGGCAGAGTCGATGGTAGAGCTTAATGGGACCAGAGACAAATGCCAGCGTGATATTAATGTGAGGTCTGTGCCAAATGTATAATCTGTACGTCTTTACTTCACGCGTGCATGTTTTGAGTTCGGACTCTTGGCTGCCGGCGGATTGAGATGCTGCTGCTGGGCGAGTTATATGCATGTTACATGCAGGTACGTCACACGAGGCCATTCGTGATAGCGAGCTTATGGCCGGTGCTCTGAACCTGAAATCAAATCCTCTGCGCCTCCTCGTCCCGTCGGGTCATCGATGCTGATCCATAGCACACCTTTCCCAGAGGAACCTACATTATCACCTCTCCTAATGTGACATTTACATGGCACTTAGGTTGGCATCGCAAAGCAGACAATAGGCAGTCAAGGTACAGGTCCTCAACCTGTGAACAATATGCCGTATCACTAGCATCATTTGGCTGTACGCGGATGTCCGCTACGTCCAGCTCGTGGATTCCACGTTCATTCGGAAGTCTTGAGCTTCTACCTTTGATCCGACGTCGTATAAACTTGTCCGCGAAGGCCGACGTCCTTTTGACTTCTATGTGAGTTCGTCCATTTCGACCGGGGGCTTTATCGGGCGCATAAGCTCACGATTAACTGCGGAAGACTCGCGAAGCGCGCCTGGCGCCGGTGGCTTTGAGCCGGTTCCACAGTCTGCCACCGGCAGGGGAAGAGTGCATCACGAGTATCTCCTCTTGATCGATGTCGGACATTGGTCCGTCTCTGAAGTGTCATCAAGTTGGACCCCCCCCCTCCTGTCGTCCGTCATCTACGATCTGCATTCCATGGTCCGCCGTCGATCCCCAGCCACAGACGTCTTGCGATCCTCAACAGACCATGCATGTTCAGGAACCGGTTTCATTTTGAAGCGCTGCTGCCGATGCATAACACTTGATTCCGCTAATATGGACAGTCTTCTCCGCAAGAGTCTAGGATTCGTCGTATTCAATCGGCCGCTGGTGGTATTATTGTCGACAATTCCAGGCGAACCTCTGGAGTGTGTTCTCCGCAAGTTCATTGGACACAGCGCTCTTTGTATCTGACTTTGCCGGCAGACAAGCGGGGTCTTCCAGGGTTAATCTGCGGCTGTCTCGCTCAAGATGCAAAGAAGTCGCTACTCTCGTGCTCACGTTCTTGCGTATAACGTTGCTTGGGCCATGGACCTAGGTACCGTCGCTCATTTATACACATGAACAGGCTACTTACCTTAATGCTCCAGTTGCTCACATGCCATAAACAGGGGGAGTGGGTTTAAGAAAGTAGCTGTGCGTTTATAAACTGCGTCATCTGCCACTGAGGTCGACGCACGAGTTTCCTTGCGCCCCTGACCCCACGCTACTCAATGTCCCTCCATCCTCTGCGCACGACCGCTGTCAGTCTTCCCTGAAGAACGGCAAATAATTTGCCTCAGGGCGATGATCATCATCGTAGAGGCTGGAACGCTAAAGAAGGCAAGGACACTGATAGCCTTTCGTTTGGCTACGCTGCACGACTTCCGCGGACGCGCCTTGCAAGCATAGTAGCCTTCGATACATGGAAGGATATGAGCTAAGTCTGGATCATGCTATCTTCGGCCAACGTTATCACGCCTTCCGCATTTCCAGCCTCTCTGCCCGTGTCAAGCTTCGAACATTGGTCTCATGACATGCCTATCAGTGTAGGCCATGCACTCTAGCTAACGAGCAGTAGCTTATTCGTGATGGAATTACGCTCGAACGTCGTCGGGACAAAAGGATAAGCTGTGGAAGTATCCCGTTCTGCCCTTCCATGCCCTGCAGTCCCTTCATATGGGCGTTAGAAAGTCCTGAGCCTTGCTGCTTGGACTTGCAATCCGCGTTACTTTGATTATGGCGGTCCCCGTTCTCTCCCAGGTTATATTGCTCGCTGCCGTTGCATATGTCTTCAGACACTTTCGACAGGAAAGCCGGGTGCGGTAACTTCATCAAGGCTGAGGATCAGTATTGATGGGTTGAGATACCTCGCCTTCGCTAGCCACACATTGCACTTCAAGTATAACATGGCTCCTAGGAGCAGGCTCGCCGAGAGGACACTGCGGAAGGAAAGAATTTCTGAAGAGCAGTGCAGCTGGCACGACTGGAAGAAAGACATGAGGACGATTGTATGAAAGCACCCCGGGCGTAGACGACCACACTACTAATGACCCAGAGCAAACAACTGCAGCGTTAAAGTGGCTAATAGCTAAATTAGGCAAAGTATATGTTCGATCGGCACTCACGAACGTCGGCCCGCACCTAATCCTGCCTTCTGACTCCCAGATGAACCACCTGACAAGGGACGAGTATTAGAACTCTATACGCTTGTATAGTATAAGCACTCCTGATAAAGCGTCGCTCTCTGGCCATGGCAGGCCTGAACTCCCCTTCACCAATTGATGGACAGTTGCTGCCGTTGAAAGGATGAGCGCTGCAAATGGGACTGACCGAGTTGACTTGAAAGGGCTTCATACAATCGTGACCGGTACGTAGCAGTTCATGAAGTTCAAGCTCGACCATCCGTTACTTACGGTCAATAGGAGGAGCGTCAGGCATCGGCCTGTACATCGTCGAGATGCTCCTTAGTAAAGATGCAACGGTCACCATTCTCGACATCAATCCGACGATGGCGACTGAAGCCCTAAAGTCTCTCCGATCCTCCTATCCGGACTCACGAGTCAGCTTCAAGCAGTGCGACGTCTCGAAATACGAATCTCAGGCAGCTGCATTCAAGTCCGCATTTGCCGAACAAGGCCGCATCGATATAGTCGTTGCGAACGCTGGTCTCAGCGCAGAGCAGCGCGAGCCGTTCCTGGCGGCCCGCGAGGACCCGGATGCTCCCCCGCCATTGACGACGCTAAACGTGAATCTGTACGGAGTGATCTACACCACGCACCTTGCCATCCACTATATCCGAAAAGGCGGAAGGGGAGGATCGATACTGTGTACGGCGTCGAATGCGGGCATATACCCATTCAGTGTCGGACCCATATACGCAGCGTCGAAACACGGAGTCGTGGGCCTCGTGCGATCCCTCGGACCATCTCTGGAGAAGGAGGGAATTGCAATCAATGCCATAGCACCTTCAGTTATCAGTAAGTGTTGCTCCGCATGCAAGTATATGCACCGCTAATGCCCGCGTAGAATCCAACATTGCGGATGAGGCCCTGTTCAAGGATATGCTCGAGACGCCACCGGCAGTGCTGAAAGAAGCAGTGCATGAGCTGGTGACGAATAGAAAATTATCTGGGAGGATCGCTGAGATGGGTCCCGAGGGGGAGCATGGCATTCTATTCCGCGAGCCTCCTGACTTCGTGAACGATTCGACACGTCATAATATGTTGAATTTCATCAAATTGGGGCGGGGTTAGGTTGGTAGGATGTGAGACCCCAACCATATTGTTGATACAATACACCCAGTTGTACAGCGAAGTATCTGAATGCATTGAGTAACCTCCGGCGATACGAGAGGTCATCAAGAACTCACACATCACTTCATTCACAGCCCTCATGCGTGTATGCGAACTATTGTTGCATTATTCTACGCGTCTTGCCCTTTGGTCGCCTCCAGGTTATATTGCACATTCTTGTGGTACTTGGTGATGAGGTCCGCAGCTGTCTTCACGTACGAATTCGCCCTCAGTATTTCCTCAATGCAATGATTGAGTTCGACGATGACTTCGGTACATTTATCCTGCAGACAAGTTACGTCGAATAGCACAGTTACCTTTCGTTATTCGCTTACCGCATTTTTCGTTATGCGTTCAATGAGAACAGCTTGACGCTCAGCGTGCGGATTCTCCATTGTGTCCGAGATGGTGGTGAGAGTCTGACACGCGAGGGACTCCGCGCGTCCGCGGTCCGCGTCTTGCGTGACCCAATGTGACACACTTTACCCTTCACTATTGCTGTGACATCGCGACCACTTGCTAAGCGCCTCTTAGCACCTTACCCCCACAATGTCAAGGACGCGATGTCCGCCGTCGCATCGTAAACTTTGAAGGGGTTCTCGGAGATAATACTGGGGCTGGTACTGACTCGGGCTAACCTTGTCCTCAAGCTCGCGCAGCTCAGCGATGGTCGTGCACACGGACAAGCGCATCCTCTGGGATCCTCGGTCGGGAAGCAAGTTCATTGTCGGAGGAGGCTCAACGATAACGCTGTATGAATGTACACCAGACTCATCTGAAATCAGACATGTAACTTCACAGAGCGATCTGCAGTTTATGAGAGTGCGTACCTTCCAACTGCTCGATATATGCGCCTTCAGCTGCTCTGTTAGTGTTTCCAATGGTCTCCTGACCCGGCGGTTGAAGACCTGGTAGCGGTGGGGCTTAACACCGGAACCGTAGATCTTATGCGTCTCGAATCCACCAGATATGCAAGTAACCACGTCCTCACAAGTGGTCCCCGCGTATCTCTACCGGTGCGGAACTCGCGATCCTGCAATACTCTTGCCTTCTGCGATGTTCAACCGAATTATCTTGCGGTCGGCCTGGAAAAAGTAAGAAATGATCCCAGTCTTATCATTTGGGACGTCAGTACAGCGCGCAGTACGATGCACATCGGTCCAACGTCAGATAATAGTTTGAATGTAGACGCGGTGAACGGGCGTTCTCAGCCTTTCCTCCCTCGGTCGGAAGTCAATAGTAGTCGGGTGGACGCACGCATACTGCAGCAGCATGCGCCGACCGACTCGATATCTTCCGTGGAATTCGTCCCCAACTCAGCATACCTCCTGTTAGCTGGCGTATCTCATCGCTGGTTACGACTGTTCGACTTGAGAAGCCCAGTGCCTGGTGCGCACACTAACGTACCTAGCAAAGTCCACAGCATCGCCACAGATCCCACAGACCCCAATCGCATCGGCACCTTCGGTGATGGCGTCGTGACTATCTGGGACGCTCGTCGGATCTCCTCCCAACCGCTGTTGACTTTCACCATCAAAGACGCTTCTGCGGATGGAGGCAGGGTGAGATCTGGCGCAGCCTTCACAACAATGCAATTCTCTGGAACGCGGAGGGGTAGACTAGCAACTCTCGAAAAGAACTCCTCGCATGTCCGGTTCTGGGATCTACAGCACGCCCAAGTCATCGAAACTAGCCCCGAGAGAACACGCGATCCAACGATGCAATCTGGTCGGGCGCCAAGGCTATCATGGACCAGTCCGTCAAGTATGCTATCCTGGAGCTCTTCTGGCGGCAGTCCCACTACTGGGGATGAATACCTCAGACGTCCATCCAACATTGTCCTCGCCGATACGCGAAAGAGTAAGCATTGTTACTGATATTCGAGCATATAGTAGGGCTGACAATTTCTCCTCAGCCAAGGATTTCAACTGGACCCTCTCCTCCTTTGCACTTGTGCCGAGCCTGCAAACGCATCCTCTCTCGTCCCAAGTAATGGTCGTGAGTAAAGAAGGTGACCTTGAACTCTACGCGATCCATGACACGCCGAAATACACGTCATGGAGTTCGCGAGGAGACCTCGCCATTGGGTGCGGCAAATCATGTCGGACAGTCCCAGGCTTTGATCCTCGTACCCCGGAAAACCACTTGGAGCCATGGGCTGTAGATTCCGCCAACGATCTTGCTGCCCCGCACGTTGAAGATACAGATATACAAGCTTACCTGGCCAACGGACGGAGGAAATCTGCCACTCCTGCACGGCCATTCTTTGGACGAGGAGATGAAGATGGGTTCCCCGCTTTATCCGCAACGTCTTCGAAGTCTCGCGAACGGGTGCATCCCAAGGTTCCCAAAAACAGTGTCGCACCGAGTCCCGCGGCTCGCAGCGTCAATTTGCCGGCTGACCGTTCCACTGCAACTGTGAAGCCAGGTGAGCTTCCTGTGTCTGGCGCCGCTGGTGATAGGGCGTCCATACGGCTCGGCCGTCGAGATAAGAGTGCATCTAAAGCAAGAAAACATGCCATGGACACCATGCATAGGTTTGTGGAGCAAGATATATCTATGATAATGAGAGGGAGAGTCCTGAAGGGCTATGGGCTAAGTAGCGTCAGTACCGGACCATGTTCATCTGGTGGACTTGCGTGGCGACTAAGCAGGTTTAAACAATCCAGGCATACCACAACCATTTAGTAACACAGGATGATCCCGTGGAAAACAACACTCTGTCCGAGCTTTGGGCATGGATATCCTGTGAGCGAATTTTACCTTCTACGTTGGCAACAGTAGTGTGATGGACACAGTTTCAAAGGACACGCTTTCCTCGCAAACCCTCAAGCATTTTGGCCTCGACTTCTCCTATGAAGGACTACTAGGAGTGTGGGAGTCGGCGCCGGCTACCTCTACCGCCCCGGGTACCCCAGAAGACCTCCAGTCTGCGCTGCAAAGCCCGCTCATGCCTGTTCTTTCATCCTCGAATTTGTCTGCGTTGGGCTTGGAGTATCCGCACCCCATCCACCGGACAACGTCGCGGTCGAAACATCACAAGGACCGACCTCACGCTTCATCTTCAATGGATCCTCCCGTGGCGTTCAGCGCTGGGAGAGGACTTGATACGCCATCGGGCGGCCGGTTAAGTGTGCATACGGCAAAGTCAGAGCAGAGGGAGCTTGCACTGCAGCTGTGCGGGTGGCAACTGACGCCTGAAGACTTTGCGAATGAGATACGGAGGTAAGCAAAAACAGATCGTTGTTAGCTAGTTGATTACGAGCATGGTGTAGATGGGAGAAGGAAGGGAAACACTCGAAAGCCGCCTGCTGGCTGGTATTCACCGGTCAATACTCTAAAGCTTTGGAAGTGTTGATGCGGAGTAAAGGTGAGGCGACGACAACATACGTTTTACCTGGGGCGGTATATTGACGTTGAATACAGACGAGACGCATTACATGATGACAGGTACTCTTGTCGCACTGACCTCTCATGCGTCGTCTAGTTCTTCGAGAAGCGCTGAGCTCCGCGAGCACACAGAACATATGATAGTTCGCCTGCAAGACCCATACTTTAGGGCAATGCTCACGCTGCTGACTCTGCGAGACTGGTCCGAGGTTCTCGAGGAGGAGGCCTTGCCCCTCCGAGAACGATTGGTTGTCGCATTTCAGTTCCTGGACGACAAAGCCCTGTCATCGTATTTGCGCAGGACGGTGGACCGCGCTATCACTCATGGGGACATCGAAGGCATTGTCATCACAGGGCTTACAAAATCCGGTATGGAGATACTGCAGAATTATGTCGACAGTACGGGGGATGTTCAGACTGCGGCTATATTGTCGTCCTATGTCTCTCCGTCCAAGCTACAAAACCGTCGTGCGGAGAGGTGGTTGGAAGCGTACCGGGATATGCTGGACGGGTGGCGACTGTTCCATCATCGATGCCAGCTGGACATCGACCGCGGTGAGATTATCAAAAGAGCTGTTGATGATGGGGAAATGGCTGCGCTCACCGGCGGGTGGGCTCCGAAACAGCTTATGATACGGTGCAATTACTGCAGTAAGCCCATTGATGTTTCGGACCCGTTCACGACGTATAATGGTCGGGTGCGTCCCTAAGTACTAGTATTTTCGATGATCAAGATGATGCTAACCCCGTGCAGACTAACAATTGTCCCTCATGCGGGCGACCGTTACCCCGGTGCTCGATATGCCTTATGACCGTTACGATAGTTCCCGACGGCCTCCGGGAAGCGGGGATGGCCCGCTCTCAACACGAAGGTCAGTTGTAGTTCCTCCGGATCTTATGACTGCGGCCCTAAGCTAAGAATAACGATGGCTAGACACAATCGACGATGCAATAGTGATATGCCAGACATGTCGACACGGCGGTCATGCTTCCCATCTGTTGGAGTGGTTCTGCAGTGGAGATGGAACTCGGACACATAGGACCTGTCCTGTGGCGGATTGTAATTGTCAATGTGCGGACAGATTATAACATCTACCTTTTGCAATTGGTTAGTTCTTGTGTCATCTACCCGTTCTCTACTCGACAATCCGAATCTGTGTTCCATTCGTCTCGCTGATTTCTGGCAGTACAGAGGTGCCATTTCGTGCGCCGGCCTCATACATCTGCGGGCCCGAAAGTGCCTTCGCGGTTACGGTAGGTCACGGCTGGGACGATCGTCGGGAAAGTAGAGATCTCTTCGTCATGCCGCAGTTCAGTTGGCGGCCTCGGCGCTCTGAGTCTCAGTGATCTACGCGTTTGTGGTTTGCACCTGCTATCCGAATGTCCGCGCTGTATTTGCGGTAAAAGCTCACTATGCTGGCTCTTCCCTGCCCTTACCTTTGACAAGACTGCCGTAACGACTGTCTTGGAATTCAGAACAGAAGAGCCGAATCTGGCAGCGCAACGTGCGATAATAGCCAAGTCGGGTATAAGATATCTATCCGGGACTTCAGTTCAAACTCCGAAGTCGGTGGCCGTATGCAAGCCCCGTCGCCATCCAGAAGGGCATCGAATTCTCTTCCTGTCAGCCGTCAGTCTGCAGCTCGCTGTCTTTAAGGTCGCTGGCGCTTTCGTTCTGTCCCTTTCCTTCGTTGCTGTCGTCGACAACAGTCCGCTCATTACCCCTCCTTTCCCGGCGCTGAAGGCGCTGCTGGGCTATTTCCGATGTTGTATCTGACGTCTGACAATTTCCCGGTCTGTGAGTATTTATATTCAGAGTTATGGCATTGGCGCCAGCCTACGCGACGCGCTCGCTAAACCATTCTGCTTTCAGTCGTGCCGTTCGGGGTTATTGGGTGAGTCCATGCAGGCTGCGAGTTGCGCGTGGAAGGAAGGCTGACTGCGGGGCTCAGTTTCTACCGATATCTCTGGTATTGCATTCGTCTAACAGCTGCATTGGCCTACCGACCTGTACCCCTACCTGAAAATCCCACCTACGTCGCCTCGGAAGATGTCACGATCATTGTCCCGACCATCGACGCTGGAGAGGAGTTCAAGGAGGCGGCGAACAGCTGGCTAGTGGGCAAGCCCAAGGAGATCATCATCGTCACGGAGGAGAAGATGCAGGGCCCGCTGCAAGAGCTCGCGAACTCGGTCGACCCGGAGCGCATCCGCGTCCTCACCGTGCCCTTCGCCAACAAGCGACTGCAGATGTCGCACGGCATCAAGCATACCACCACGGACATCATCGTGTTCGCGGACGACGACGCGATCTGGCCGCCCACCATGCTGCCTTACATGCTCGCCTGCTTCGAGGACCAGAAGGTCGGCGGCGTGGGCACGTCGCAGCGTGTGCAACCCGTGGGCGAGAAGATGACTGTCTGGGAGGTCCTGGCTGCGTTCCGCCTGAGCATCCGGAACATTGAGATCGCATCTTCGACGCACATCGACGGCGGCATCCCCTGTCTCTCTGGGCGCACAGCCGCGTACCGCACGATCATCCTCAAGGACCCCGAGTTCCTCCACGGCTTCACGCACGACTACTGGCTGGGCAAATACCACCTCAACTCGGGCGACGACAAGTTCTTGACACGGTGGATGGTCAGCCACGGCTGGAGCACGTACGTGCAGTGCTGCAAGGAGGCGGAGCTGTTGAGTACCATGAAGCCCAATTGGCGGTTCTTGAAGCAGGTCCTTAGGTGGACAAGGAACACATGGCGATCGGATCTGCGATCTCTGTTCATGGAAAGGTATATCTGGACGGCCCATCCCTATGTCGCCTACACCATGGTAGACAAGCTCTTCAACCCCTTCACCCTCCTCGTAGGCCCCGTCCTGGTAGCATACCTGATGTACAAGAGTACTATCCCCGTCGAGCAGGGCGGTTATCATCTGCCGTGGTGGTAAGTCCGGACCCTTTCACTCCGTATCTCCCTGCCACCCCTGACCCGGTCGTCGTGCCCGCCAGGAACATCGCGATTAGCTACATGGTCTGGTTATCAGCAACCCGAACGGCGAAGCTGCTTCCCCATTTGTGGTACCGTCCTCAAGATATAATCTATGTTCCCGCGTTTATCCTTTTTGGATACTACTTCGCCATCATGAAGGTCTACGCTTTGTTGACATTACACGAGGTATGTCCTACAAATTTCAGTGTCATGCATGCTAAGCCGGTCATTTCCCTAGACTGGATGGGGTACTCGTGCTGGTGTTGGCGACCCGTCAGCGGCGACGGCGGCGGTCGATGCGAATGAGAAAGCCCAAGTGACCGTGGTGCCCGTGAAGCCCTACTCCGACGTGCCGACACCAACCGCCGAGCAGCAGCGTTATCCGGAACCACCAATAGAGATGCGTGTCGGTTACGCCAACTGAAATTCTCTGCTCTCTAGACGGCTGCTCTGCTTCCTCGGTGTTCATTCATGCTCCTTGTATATATCACGATTTACACTTCGGCTCACCTCGACCCTCGCATACTGCCCTGTCCATACGGTCTCAATGTTCACGAGCGCACCCCATCACTGTCAAGATCACGATCTACGCTGCATATTCTTTCTAGCTTATACCTACCATACCCCAAACCTCCGCGACATCAAACAAATGTATTACAAAGGAACTCTTTCACCTTTCCCATACTTTGGAGTCTTGTTTGCCCCTTGGCCGAGTCGTAGCAGGATTGGGTTTCTCCGATCTCGTTCCTGCTCACCCCCATTAATTCAACTAATGTTACTTCGACCTCGGACCTTTCATCATACGTTAGCAGCGATTGCTGGGCATTTACCTTAGTCGTAGCACTTTTTGGCATCTCTTGTGTTCATGCGAAAGGGTTCTATAGAGCCCTGGACCGTATACTACAAGTACTCCACTCTAGTATGGTTTCGCGACCATGTAATGCAGTTCTTTCAGCGCAAATATGGGTAGCTATTGCGTATACTTGTATCAATCACAGCAGAATCTACATTACCAAGTAGAGTGTGGGTCGGATTAGCGGTAGAGTTCTATGTCATCGAGCTTGGCGACATCCACTTTGTCTTCGTCTCGGCCGCAAGCATGTCTTGCGTGATGACCAAGTTCACGACGCGGATCACCGAAATACCGATTATGGGCCTCGACTTAGGCTGCAGCTGTCTACCCATGTGTTGTCATCTGCTCTGCTCTGAGATCTATACCTGGGCCGAAGGCCCTGGCACCCCGGTCGCTACGTCGACTCCCGGCGCGGTGGGCTCCAAGGGCTTCATCGCTGGGAACAATAGCACTTCTTTGATGTCTATTTGAAGAATGTTTAGAGTGGGTTAAGAGGGGAAGGGCCGCACGCACTTGTTGAGTCGGTGAGGAACATCACGAGACGGTCGATACCGATTCCCCAACCGCCGGTCGGTGGGAGACCATGCTCCAGTCTGGATGACGGTAGTCAAGGGACTGGGATGGATGAAAAACTATAAGACTTACGCATCGATGAAAGTCTCGTCGATATCCTGGGCTTCGTCGTCACCCTGGGCCTTCTGCCTCACCTAAGCACCAATCAGCCTCACAGCCGGAGACTCACAAGTGGTTGGAGCTTACCTGCTCCTCGAAGCGGGCGCGTTGCTCGAAGGGGTCGTTCAACTCGGTGTAGGCGTTGCAGAATTCCTTCCCACACATGAAGCCCTCGAAGCGCTCGCAAAGGCCTGGGCGGGAACGATGCCACTTGGCAAGAGGGGACATTACTTGTGGGTGGCCCACTATGGTTGGGTGTTAGTGTCAGAAATCGCGCGACGAGAGAAGACAGCTTATAACCACGGACCAATGAAAGCGGGAGATATGCAGAGCGGCTCGATGAACTCGCCAACAAGCTGGCAAGTAGTTTGGCATGAGTGAGATTGGGTGTCAAGAGAATGCGCTCACCTTATCCAGCAACCGCGCATTCGTGCGTGGCTCGCTGCATTCGACATTGTGCTAGTGCAGATCGTCAGTAAAGATTCCACCCTCGTTCCGACTGCTTTACCTTCTTGCAGAGGTCTCTGAGGAAGACATTCGCCTCGTCGGTATGCAGCGTATCGCTCGGCGGGAACTTGACGCCAAGTTTCTCTTCGAGTGTTTCAATCATGTCGTACCTCTTCCACGGCTTCTTGAATTCCAGGTCATACACCTTGCCGTCCTTGCCCTCTGGGTGGTACTGCAATGTTGTCTTGCCCCCCGTCAGATACTTCACCAGACCCTCTACCATGCTCTCGGTGATGTCCATGACGTCGTACATATCCGCGTAGGCCATGTAGAACTCGCAGATCGTAAACTCGGGGTTATGCGTCAAGTCGATCCCCTCATTCCGGAACACCCGCCCGATCTCGTAGACGCGATCCAGCCCGCCTACGACGAGCTCCTTGAGGTACAGCTCGGGCGCGATACGGAGGTAGAGGTCGAGGTCGAGGTCGTTATGGTGCGTGACGAACGGCTTCGCGGTCGCGCCGCCCGCGATCATGCTCGTCATGGGTGTCTCGACCTCGAGGAAGCCGAGGTTGTCGAGGAAGCGCCGAATGTAGTTGATGATCTTGGAGCGCGTGATGAAGATGCGCCGTGTGTCCTCGGAGATGATGAGGTCGAGGTAGCGCTTGCGGTAGCGCGTCTCCTGGTCCTTCAGCCCAAAATGTGCGGAGGGGAGCTGGTGCAGGTTCGGCGCGAGGAGCACCATTTCGGAGGGGGAGATGGAAAGCTCGCCTTTCTTCGTGCGGGAGGGGGAGCCGACGACGCCGACGATGTCGCCCCGCCGGAAGAGGTCGTGCGTGGCCACAAAGGTGTCGGGGTTCTTGGCGTCTCTGCAATACTTTCAGCGGTAGGACGTAGGAGGGAGGGACGAGACGTACTGTAGCGTGGCCATGATCTGTACCTTCTTCCCCTCACCGTGCAGATCGTAAAATCTAAGTTTCTGGCCCGACGCTCGGATATTGTGTACACGCCCCGCCAGGTGAACAACGTCATCGAGCTTGGTACCCGCAGGAATCTTTCCTTTCGGACCATATTTTTTGATATAATCTTCGATGGATATCGACACTTCAAACTTGTGTGGGTATGGATTGGGATCCTGTGTCTCCCTCAATTTTTGGATTTGGCGTGATCGGAGTTCAAAATATTGCTAGGCCGGAATCAATGGTAAGCACTCGTATATGCCTTTTAGGTGGAGAAGGACAAGGAGTTATAACAGTGTATATAGGTTGCGATGAAGCTTTGCTGCTTCTGTCAATTGACGCACAAGTTCTTTAGGACAAGATCGTGGAAAGACAGAGCATCCTCTCAGCACAACTTCCACACCCGTGACGGATGCGAGCAATCGCAGAAAGACCCGTCAAAGCAAGCACAGTACTCACATTGGGATTCAAATCATCCTCGTTCACAGCAGCGGGCTTCGCAGCAGCCTGTGGGGCCGCAGCAGCCTTTGCGGCCTTCTTCGCCTCTCTTTCTCGATGTTGCTGACGCCTTTTGAGCTCTCTGCCGACGAGTTCAATACGCCAAAGCCAGACATAGATGCAGAAGTGAACGCTACGAACGTCTTCGAGATCATCTCCCCCGTTACCGGGTCCTTGTGCAGGTTAACATTTTCCGACGCCATCGTGTAGTATCGCGGCCGTGTAGTGAAGCCTGTCCGAGGGGGGTGGCAGCGTCGAGCACTTAAAGATGAAAGCAGCAGACGCTGCATATAACTTTCTTCTTCTCCTCTAATCGAGTCACTATCAGTACCCCAAAGAGGATGTGACTCGGACGAATACAGCGTGAGTACATCGTACTAGTTTTGGCCCTAGCGCCTAATTAAAAGTAGAAAAGGCTGGGACCAGCCTTTCGTCTACTTTCATGTCCGTACGGCGCACATTTACATCAGGACAGCTTTCAAGAAACTCCCGGCGAACCAAGCTCCGGATTCTTGACGGAACTTTCATCCCTTTTAATAAAGGTCTCATAAGACAAGCCCCACAGATGAGAACACCGACGGATTAATTGTCACACGTTGCCGTTGTACTGCAGAAACTCGAAGCACCCCGGGATAAGACCTGAATATTGTGGAGTGTAGTATATAATATTTGAATAGCATTTTTGTGTCCCTTTACATAGATGTGAGGAATTGAAGTGCCGGACTTCTTTCAACCTCGAGCGTACAGATGCGATGTGGCCTTATTGGGTAAGAGTCTTTCTATAACAAGCCCAAAGACTGGGACCGAGTCCGCTCCGGTTCCCCGCACCCACGCGGAGTTTGAATCTCCCAGGGCCATGGGTCGGCCGGGGATGGCAGCATGTCCTTGAGTGCTGACTACATCCACCCGGGCGACAACAAGCACGACTTCCATCGTGAACGACAACAACGAGTGCAACCATGTCCGACGACTACTCCGATGACGAGTATTACTACGATGAGGACGAGGATATGATGGACGCCGACGACGGAGGTGCGTCCCATATGCTCTTGTGCGTGCGTACAGGGCGAATGTGCTCATGCATGGATTGCAGACTCTGCCCCGTCCGACGAGGAGATGGACATGGAGGTGTTTGATAACGACTTTAAGCTGCCTGGCAAGGCGCGCAAGAAGTCCTACGAGGTCGACTCGGAACCTCTGAGTCAGGCGCAAGTCGAGCGGCTCATGCAGACAGACATCGAACATATCAGCGGTATCTTCGGCGTCGATGTGAGCGTACACGCTTGATTGTATGCATGCTATCATGTACTGATCATTTCATATCTAGGAGAACGTGGCATCGCTTCTGTTGCGACATATGAGCTGGAACAAGGAGCGCCTAATCGAGAAGTACATGGACCATGCCACCGCTGTGAGCGTCGAAGCCGGCATCACACCCAAGGAGGAGAAGCCCGCAAAGGCCGCCGCCTCCAGCCGCGCAGGTTCGTCATCCACCGGGCCCCAGCGCTCCACCCGCTCGTCCAAATCCAGCAACAAGCTCAAGTCCCCGTCGCCCGCGCCGAAGGAGGACGAGCCGTACACCTGCCCGATCTGTTTCGACGACACACAGACGCGCACGATGGCGCTCGCGTGCGGACACGCGTTCTGCTCTTCTTGCTGGAACGCGTACGTGACGGGCAAGATCCGTGAGGAGGGCGAGCACTGGATCCGCTGCATGGCCGAGGGGTGCGGGCTCGTCTGCCCGGACCCCTTTGTGCGCGAGGCGCTGGGCGAGGATAAGGCGACGTGGAACCGGTTCCGCGAGCTTCTGGTGCGCCATTTCGTCGGATGCAACAAGAACCTCAAGTTCTGCCCCTACCCCAACTGCACGTACACGGTTGCGTGTCCCGCTGCTGCGTCGAAGTCGGCGCTGCTCTCCATCGTGCCGACCGTGACCTGCGGTGCGAGTCCGGACCACAAGTTCTGCTTCGGGTGCTCCATCGAGACCGATCACAGGCCGGTTATATGCGCGATCGCTGCGATGTGGCTGCAGAAATGCCACGACGATAGCGAGACGGCCAATTGGATCAAGAGTAACACGAAGGAGTGTACGAAATGCCAGAGTACCATCGAGAAGAACGGGGGGTGCAAGTAAGTCAATTCATCTGCGTCCGCTGTGCTGGTCCTGAATGCCTTGGCGGATAGCCATATGACTTGCAAGAAATGCAAGCATGAGTTTTGCTGGGTTTGCATGGGTAAGTGGGTGTGAATATGAAGTTCATGGGAGTCCACTCATTTGGCGTGGGTAGGCCCTTGGAGTGAACACGGAACGGCTTGGTACTCGTGTAACAGATACGATGAGAAAGCGAGTCAAGAGGCTCGCGATGCGCAGTCGAAGAGCCGGGCTTCATTGGAACGCTATCTACACGTGGGTCGCGTCGATCGTCTATCTCGCATCTCATGTTCTGACAATCCCATAGTACTACAATCGATGGGCTAATCATGAGCAGTCCGCGAAGCTCTCTATGGATCTGTACAAGAAGACGGAGCAGAAGATGGAGGAGATGCAGATCTCGTCTGACCTGACTTGGATCGAGGTGCAGTTCATGAAGAAGGCCGTGGACGAGGTGTTCAAGTGTCGCATGACGCTCAAGTGGACATATGCCATGGCGTATTACCTAGATAGGGGGAACCCCAAGGAGCTGTTCGAGGACAATCAACGAGACTTAGAGAAGGCCGTGGAGGATCTGTCCGAGCTGCTTGAGCAGCCGATCGAGCCGGAAGTCGTCCCGTCCCTGAGGCAGAAGGTTACAGACAAGACTGTGAGTGCCCTGCAACGATGGTTAATTGTCTCGAATGCTTAACAAATCGGATGCGCATAGGTCTACGTCCAGAAGCGCAACGAAATCATGTTAGAAGACACTGCCAACGGTTTCCTCGAAGGTCGATGGCAGTGGAATACCTCGGTGCCAGGGCTGGAATGAACAACCAGGCAATGTATACCGTGTATTATCTAAGTCTTAACTCTTCGTCTGTGCACCCTATCCCTTTCTTCATCTGTACATCGGACAGACACCACCATCATCCCGGTCACCCCCTTGCATCATTCCTTTTGCTTACTGTCCAATGTCTTCTTCCCTCATTGTATTTTCTATCTGTGTCAATAGGTCGAATAATCCTGTTACTACATACATACCTGTTATATAGAGGTCTACAAAGGTTTACAATCGCTATTCTGCTCAATTGTTTGTGAATTGTTGCTGACACTCAGGCTTGCTGAAATCCGGGACTGCTAAAAATGGGATCCCCTATTCGCGCTTCGCCCATGGACGCTTCCGCTCTCACCACAAGTTATTCCTCTCGTTCTTGGTCACCCTCCACGACGACGGCGACAGTATGGGACTGCTTCGACGGTTCAATGCACGCTCTGTAACGTCTCGGCTCATCTTCGTCGGCTTCGTTGCGACCCTCACCCTCCTGCTCTACACCTTCGCGGCACCATCGTTACGCCTCGACTTCCGCTTCAAGCTCCCGGATGTCCCGCTGTTCTCGCAGCGCACACGAGCGTCTTGTTCGCCCGAGACATATTCCAGCGGGCAATGGGTATACACTCCGAAGCCCGAGCTGCAGAATAAGACTATGCACGAGGTAAATGATGCCCTGGTATTCGCGGGACTGGAGGGCTGCGCGGCAGACAGGGAGTATGCATGGCATTTGGCGGCGGATAGGCCGGAGATGTGGGACAGGTTCCCTGCGGTTACGTCGTGGAAATGGCAGCCTGCGGAGGAGTGCCATGTACGGCCTCTAGATGGGGCCGCCATGACCAAAGACCTGGTCGAGCAGGGGGGCTGGCTTTTGCTCGGAGGTACGTCTATCACATTGTTATGCGGGGCTTAGATGTTAATACGTTTTCTAGATTCAATAACGGAGAACCACTTCTTCTCGCTGTCCTGTCTGCTCTACCCCCACGTCCGTGCGACACCAAACTATACGGAAAACCCATACTATGACCGAGCCTGGGCCCAGCACCTCTATCTCTCACCTACGTCTCCGTTAATCCCGCACCTGTCTTTTCCGCCTGGTTTCTCCATCGAAGAGACGCCCCTCGTGACATTCCGCCGCGTCGACCTTCTTCTATCACAAGACGAATTGCGCTCCTTGCACCGTAGGCTGCATCCGGAGATGTACGCGCGGAACGCCAGCTTCTCTCTGTTCAGCGAGGAGCAGACGTGGAGCCTCTCTCCGACGGAATACATGCCCATTCTTTTCGGCGACCCGCCCAATCACTATGCAACCCTCGTAACGAGCACTGCGGGGCACTGGACGACGACGCTCTTCGCTGGATACCGCGACGAATCTGTTGGCGAAGACGAGGGCTACGGCATCCAAGGCGTGTTGCAGTTCTTCAACGAGGCCATGGAGTACTGGGCGAGCGAGGTGCAGCGGTATTTCGACACTCACAAAGGCCGCGAGCGGAGGCAGGTAATCATACGGGCGTATTTGCCCGGCCATGAGGACTGCCATAACCACCGCGAGCCGTGGACTGAGTATAAGGAGTTTGACTGGAAATGGTATAATTGGTTCTGGATCCGGGACTTCAATCGTATCTTCCAAGTACGTGTCGGTTCCACTTCATTGCCTTCGGCCTTGCTCACTGCTTCTATAGAGTGTCTTAAGTTCTCCTCGATACCCGGACATCCATTTCCTGCCGATCGACAGACCGGCGTCGCTTCGTCCAGATGCAGTAAGTTACATCAGACAAATATCACCATCATCTTTGATACTGACTCCTCTCTTTGCAGCACTCCACAGGAGACTGCCTACATATCATGACAGGCGCAGGCGTCCTTGAAGGATGGTCCCATTATATTTGGCACTATATCACCCGCGAGCTCCCAGGCCGGATACGATGAGCCGTTCGTTCCCGGGTCGTAGGACCCTACGCTCTTTTGCGGACAGAAAACAGGATGGACAAGCGTGTAATACTCGCCAGCCACTGATAGACGTGGTGGGTGCTCTGGGCCGGGGACCCTCCCAGATAATAGATCACTGTGCTTATTGTATGCTGTAATAATACCTAATAATCTTTTTGGAGATGGCAGATAGCTTGTGGGACAGTGTGGGCGGGCACGGGCTAGGTGATGTTTATGACAGTATGTCCACTCGTATTCCGTGCTAGTATCGCTATCTGATGAGTCCCTTGATGTGCACAGGTGGAGGTGTCATGCCCGGCAGTCTGCTACGCTGCTTCGTCCTTTACCTGGCCACAGAATTCACATCCTGTTTTCGAGACTAACGATGTGTAAAATGGACTCGAGAATTGTTAACCCCGTGTGAGGATGCTACCGATAACCGTAGAGGTCTCTCGCAGGCGATCTGCGGCTACATCACATATTCGTCGGTGCCGACGGCCCCGCTCAAGAGGTGGTCGAGTCGTCAATGGTCAGTCTCGAAATTCTGCGGGTCAATAATCACCTTATTTATAGGCTCCAGTACGTCGCAAGGACCTGCTGGATGTCCTTCTCCTCTGCTGCATATCTGAACTGCGCCAAGGCAGGTTTAAGCGCTCTGCAGCCTGGCGCTCATCGTACAGTGAGACATTAATAGTATGGTTGTGGTCATCACCTTTGTGTCAACATATTATGATATATTCGTGTGCTGTCTCAATTGCTCTCCTCGCTTTACTGATCGTTCGCTTTATTTCAGAGGAGGCCGATCAGCCCATATCTGTTCGCCAGCACCATCTGATTGATTCGGTTACCCCATTAGCATAAAGGACATTGGATGTCTCTCATCGTGCGTCTCGCAACCCCTCAGCAGGCTGATGAGCTCGTTTGTGTCCCGCCTATCCCGTCCGTTCGCTACCTCGTCTATCTATTATGAATTCCAACAGTACTCTGCCAAATCAAGCTGCTCGGGAACGTAGGTGTCATATTTTGTCGTTCAGCCTTGCTTCAGCACGCTCAGTGCTTTCAAAACAGCGGTTGAACTGTCGTCCATCAACGCCGTTCTGGTGGACGTCTTCCTTGCCTTGAATATCACCGCAGGGTTAGGCATTATACTCGTCCTTCTAACAATGCTATTATCCGCTCGAGTGCAACGACAAGCCACTTGGATCAATTTCTATGTTTCCTGGGTGATCAGTTGCACTTCTTATTCTGTGCTGTAAGTACTTACCTTCTGATAACAAAGATTGCTTAAGCTGAACGGGAGAGAATGATCACAGATTCTTTGCGGGGAGGCAGAGAGGGGCTGCACCGAGCTTTTCTCTTTGTTTGACACAAGCATCCTTGATTTACGGTGCACCAGTATTGTAAGTAGCTGAACGCATCATCTCAGTTACCTAACGGGTCTCAGGGTGGACGTAGGACTGCCTTCACCGGCCTAGCGCTGGTTCTGCAGGTATTTGGAACCAACGTTACTCTTCATGCTTCCTGAAACCAAGCTGCAGCTCTTGTCTAATGTGTGTGATCTACTATTCGATTGCGACCGGTATCGCAACTATCTCCATAAACGGACATTCTGGGTGCGTTCGATTGCGTGGAATGGGTTTTCGTGGGTTCTCAATGTTCTTGCCAGCTTATTTTCTGTCCTTACGTGACGTACTTTATGGTGATAATGGCTGCGATCGACGTCAGTCGCCCATATAACATGTGTTGCCAGTTTCACGATGATCTTGACGTCGACGCTCCGGCAGGTGGGGATCAAAAACCCTTCGTCGGTCTCCAGAGATGTCTTCTATTGCCACATTGGTGCACCCAACTACAGCCTACCGTGAGTTTACCAAACTCGTGTCTTAATCGTTCATGATTCATTTTCAATCTATCAGAGGGAGGATATCTTCTGCCATCGTCATTATAGCAGCCAATGCTGCTCTGTTCTGCGAAGGTAATCGTTACGCTTAAATGGCTGTCGGGCTACTGGCTGACTCTACAACCAAATACTTGCAAGTCTCAATAGCCGCGGTACTGCGTCACCGTTGGCTCACCTATAAACATATGTGTCCCGACATGAAACCCTCACTCGCTATGTATCTCCGGGTGGGCCTTATGACTACACTGGCTGTAACAGCGATCTGGTATGTAATATATGCATTTAATGACCACAAGCCCTGATTATCTTGTATAGCATCGCCATGTTCATGATCGGCTTTTCACAAACAGATAACAGTCAGGACCTCCGGACTAGCGCATTCAGCACGCTTCTTGCTCTCAGTGAGTGCCATTTGGGCTCCTAGCTCATAGGTAATGAATGCGAGCTTATCGCCTCCTAGTACCTTTCGGAATGTTTGTAACGGCTGTGAGCCGGGCAGTAGGTTTTAACCCACTATCCGTCTCTTCTCATTATCGCTAACACGATATACTCAGGATGTTCTCTCTGTCTGGATGTTTTGGAGAAAGCCGAACATCCGATATTCTGCACCCGAAATCCGAGAGGTTGAATATGTTTGATAACATTGAGGATCTTGAGGGACGTATTTGTCTGAATCGGTAAGCCCCGATTCAATCTGTGAAGGACGGTCGAATGAGCCAGCCCGACGTCCTAGATACAGCTCAATCACCCGTCATGCACACGCTTACGAGGATTTTGTTGCTTCCGGGAGCCTTCCGGTTAACCGTGCATCTCCCGCGCTCCCGAGCGCCGGTCGACCTACCTACCTACCCTCGCTCACAGGTGCCTACCAGGTGGTCGAGCCCATTCATTGGGTCAGGGGCATATGGTCACTGGTCGCCTTGAAGGCGAGGACCCTCTGCTCTGACGACAACTAGAGTACGCGAGCAGCTCGCCAGTACTCACATGCGTGCAAGCACCGCTTCTTTTCTATTCATCCAAGGAGCCCTCTTGCTGTATTTGGTGGTGGGGTGTTTGTTCGTTTCATGTTGTCAGACTCTCGAAGGAAAATGAAGCTGGAGGTGAATAGACGGGAATACTCTGCGAACGTAGTGCTACGCCAAACAATTAGTTGGTTCTGCAACGTTTGTGCCCGGATCAGACCCGACCGGGGTCCCCACACACCACAGCCAGACCCCAACGATATCCTGGGATGCACGCTTCAAAATCTGATAGTGGAAGACATGTCGAGACTTACCTTCTGAACTCCTACCGTTAGGACTGCTACCAGTGGCACTGTAGTAGAGTGGACCATGTTTCAGCTGGCATTTCGCGCCTTTCTAAACGGATACTCACTCAGGGCGAGCAAAGTCTGTGCCGCCGCCGACTCTACTCGCAAGGTGACTAATAGAGCAGCCGTGCTGAAAGGACATTCATGTCAAAGGGTCGATGCCAGGGCAGCACTGATCTCACCAAATCGCGACAATTGCGAACAAGGTAAACAAAAAGATTCTGGCCAACATTTCCAGAGACGGCGCCAGAGATACCTTCAGAGCCCTGTATACGCGCCAGCGACGGTACAGTATAACCGCAGTAGTCACTGAAGGCTTTACATAAGCACGATTAACCCGCATGGCGCCAAGAAAGGGCCCCACCTTCTACATGAATCGTCGCAACCAGAGCAAGGATAACGAGTGCAGCTGATATTTTCCCTCTAATAGCCATGTCTGAGAGCCTTCAATCACAGAAGATTGAAGAAAGGTGCGCGTACGGAATCATTGTGTCGATGTAGCAGAAAACCAATCCTCTTTGGACAGTTTCCAAGTGAGAGAGACTTTGCTAAAATAATACACATTAGTATCTCGGGAGTACAACTTAGACAGCATCATCACCTCAAAGGCAGCGAATATGACAATGCCATATAGGATCCAGGGACAAACTACGAGCTGAATGGAGTCTTGAAGTAATCCGGATAACACCAGAGAGGGTACGAACCCAGAACACGGGAACCGGTATACCCTTCCTATTGTCCTCTGTGTCACAGAGCGCTGCATATGTGTTTAGAAAGAGCTGATGGAAGTTTCATTAGGGTGTAGTGCTCTAGAGAAGCTTAAATCATACTTGTATCCACAAGGATAGGGAGGTGTACGCCGTCCTATCGCATGCATCGTAAGTAAATGAACTCGGCTCCCGCGGTATCCAACACAAACACGACTGGAGCGCCATAAATGAGAGCTGCTTGCGTTGCGCAGAGAGCCCGGTTTGGCTCTTTTCCGAACTCGCCATTGAAAAGCACGCTATATCATGTCATAAGCATTAAAAAAGACATGTTCGATATTGGCTGGACGTACAGTAATATATATGAGAAGGCATAGATAATCCACGACAGGCAGAAGTTGACCCAAGTTGTCTGTCGATGTACTTGTCGTGAAAAAAGCATCGTGAACAGGACGGAAAGCATGCCGATGCCACCGAGCACTTGGAGTACAGCGAATGCAATGACAAGGGGAACACGATTCGATCCGGCTGCTCCAAAGGCTGCAGCACTGAACATTAGCCATGATTCTCGGAACAGCAAAGACATTCGTCGTATCTTACACCCGGTTGTCGATGCACCAGGCATCTTGGATATTGTATTGGAGCGATTTTCAACGCCAGCGCTCGAGGGCTATAGGGGAGGAAGGGTCACAGATATATAGCGGGAACTGTGATGCAATCTGAACTTGCAGCAGCGCTGCGCACCTGCGGCGAACACAGATACCATCCTCGTTGCTCGATGACATCGTTGGCCGGTGCATCAAGCCGGCAAGCCATGCCAGTGACGGCACATATCAGGAATGCCACTATACATAAATATCATCCTTCAACAGCAGATGATTATAGTTCCAGCCACGGAACCGAAGCGCGTCCTCAATCTGGCCTAGGATAGCAAACACTTAACTGTGTTTGATATATCTAGCGGCCGGCGCTGCTGTATAAATCATGACGCACCGGCGAATGAGATAAGGGCAAATCGCTCTCTGAAGGAACAGGTGCATCAACACTCATCGTGTCTTGAAAACAGTGGTGTACTTAGAATATACTCTGGCCATCCTGCGGGTGGCTTCCCCTAGCGGTAAGGGGACAAACTTGGATGATGACCGGACGATCACTTACCACTGGAGCAGGCGACCCTCTCAGGCTGCCATGAGTGGGATGATCCAGCGACCGGCGCCATTAAGGCAACACGTCCCACAGACCGCGGCAGATGATCATGACGGTAGTGGAGCGATAGAAGAGGCTGTAAAAACATCCTGCGAGTGAGCAGCATGGCATCTCAATAATGCACCTGGAGAAACGGATGAATGAGCTGTCCAGGGGAGGTGTATTGGCCCATGCCGCGGAGACTTTGAGAGTATCGAGGCCGCATAAATGCCTCGTATATCAGCGCTGAGGAGTGCACAGGAATTGTGTTCCTCTGGGAGCCCAAGAACTGGTCTGAGCGCATCAAGATACTTGATCATGATGGCCTCGGACCCTGAGGCTCCCAGTCCAATGACCTTCTCCGCCACGATAACCGCGGAACAGTGATATCCTGACTATCAACGATTGACGATTGAAGCCACAAAGGCCCACTATTTTGACTACGATGGGGGTACTCCAACGGGACCACCACCGCGGTACTTACGGGAAGCTAGTCCGTATATGGCAGGATGTCAGGCCCCTCTAACCGTGCCGAGGTGAAGCGGACTTTGCAAGAAGACAGTATACCAGCGACCTGAATTTAAAGGCAGAAATAGGTATTACCTCCAGATTGGCCATGAATACGATGCTATATATAATAGACGGAAGGCAAGGTGCTATTATGATCATACCTTAAAGACAGTCCTTGTGAGCTCGAGCTGGTCGGCAGGTCAGAGGTAAGGCCGCGGTTTCCGTTTCCATAGTGGGGGTCGGCAACTCCTGCCAGCCGAATGTCCGCGTGACCGTGATTGTCACACTCGCGTCTCACAATCCGGCCTCGCTACTCATCTCGGGTTGTGTGGCATATTCCTTCGTGGTAGTGAGCTCTACTACAATGAGATAGATTGGTTGTCTCAGATACAGGGCTATATGGATAATATCTACAATAAGAAGCACTATTATAGTCTATATAGTGCTCTATATTAGTAATAAAGCAGTATTCTTCAGAGTCCTCAGGCATTACAGCAGCTGGCTGGTAAAGAATTAAAAGGGTAGACTTCAGAGAATCTCTTGACAGCCTCCAATAGTGCAGTAATCTTTGCAGATCCTATCTTCCGGAATTGAGTCTTCTGTCCTCGAGAACGCCCTATCCAGGGCCTATCCATGACGAGGAAGCCCAGCAGATCAATCAAGCAGCCCAGAATAGCTGCGAGACCAGCCAGAAGTGATGCGTCACCGTAAAAACACGTCCCGACGCGTCGCGACGCGCTCGTTCAACGCGTCTCGGCACTTGCCGAGCAGGCTCATTGGGCTGCACGTCGTTGTGGTGCAAACTGTGGATTCCACACAGCACCACAATTCCCAGAAAAATCATATAATATTCTTTTATGAACGAAAAATGAC